GATCATCTTCGCTGCTCCAGCATCAATTTCTCCAGCTTAGCCATCCTGCCCTCCTTTCCGCCACATTCTATTGCCCAGCCCAATACTGCAATTCAGTCCACAGTCCATTTCCCCAGCCTACCAAACTACATAAAATTCCAAATACAAAAAATAAACACACAGCCCATTTGTTTGGCCCAGCAAACTGTAATAGGTCCTTAAATAAAATCACTAATCCCACAGCCCAATTTCCAAGCTTAACAGGACAATTTGCATGAATCAAATTGGCCAACCTGCACTGCAACCATTCACACAACATGACAATTTACTCTACTGCAAACTGTAATGCAGCAGCCAAGTTCACCTCAACTACAATCTTTCATCTTCCCATACAAACACTCTTATCCAACCCAACAACCTCATGCAAAATCAAAAACTGTCTTGCAGCAAAACATGTTGCTACAAAGTCCACAACCGTAGTCCAATGAGATTTCCTCTTCTTAGACACAAACTGCCAGTTACCCAACACGTGAAGTCCTATTTAACATGCCCTCTTCAGCAGCAGAAACAAATTCTCCTCCATGCATTTTTGTCTCAAGTACTAGCAAATCATCATCTAGTTCTCGAACTCTGAGCATTTGCAGGTTCTTCATCTAGCTTGTCCAGTACTAGTCTTTCTCCCAAAATTCTCACCCATTTTGTTAGCCTCCCTGACTCAACCCGTAGATCATCTCATTCAATCTTTAACCGTGCCAGTACCAATGTTAAAATAGGATTGAATTTTATCATTGACCTAAATGCTTTTGACCTTCAGCAATCAAAATAGATAATGACTCCTCCAGTTTGCAAACATGGCATGAGGCTTCGGTCCATAGATCCTCCGAAAGTTAATATTTTTACCATTCTTTCTTCTATCCTATTGGAACCAACCTGCTTCTCTCGAGCACACAAGTTTCATGAATGGAGACAGACAATAGTTGCTGAAATCAATGCCTTATTAAGGAATGGTACTTGATCCTTGGTTCCACACAGACATGGGATGAATGTGATTGGGTGTAAGTGGGTATATCAAACCAAAATTAAAGCCAATGGCAGTATAGAACGACACAAGACAAGACTAGTGGCCAAGGGATTCCATCAATAAAAAGAGTTAATTATTCTGAGACCTTTAGTCTGGTTGTTAACGATGCCACCATTCAGCATTCAGTGTGTTCTCTCATGGATAGTAATAAATTCAGGGACATGGACAATTCGCCTGCTTGATGTTCACAATGCTCTTCTCAATGTCTTTATGAATGAAATAGTTTACATGAAGAAACTTCTTGGGTTTGTTGATGACGGTTATCCAAATCATGTGTGAAAGTAGAATCGCTCTTTACACAGTCTGAAACAGTCTCCACGGGTATGGTTTGCATGTCTTAATGATTTTTTTATTGGAGCTAGGTTTTCAGTCCTCGAAAATAGATTGCTCTCTTTTCTTTTATACCAAAGATAGCATTCGCTTGTTGCTGCTGGTTTATATGGATGACGTACTTATTAGATCGATACCACAGTCTTTTTAGTTATCGAAGCTCTCAATCGAAGGTTTTCTATTCGGGATGTAGGAAATGTTTGTTATTTCCTAAGCATTGAGGCAGTCAAAGTAAATGATGGACTTCTGCTCTCTAAAAAGATATATGCGGCTGACATATGGAATCATGTCGAATTGTAAGTACCTCTATGCCAAAAACTTCTAAACTACATATTTTATCTGACCCTAGAAGTGTTGATGCAACATTATACTGGCAAACTATTTGTGCTCTTCAATATACAACTTTAACGAGACCAAATGCAGGTTTTGTTGTTAATAAGGTATGTTAGTACATGCATGCTTTTAAGGAGAATCACTGGATAGCTGTAAAACACATCCTATGCTATTTAAAATATACTATGGATTATGCTGTACATCTTTCTCAACATAGCAACAACTTCTTGCAAGGATTTTTTGACTTTGATTGAGCAGAAAGTTTAGAAGATAGAAAAAATCAGTAGGGGGATTTGCAATATTTCTTGGCAACGTTCTAATTTTTGGAAGTCATCAAAGTAAAAAACATTGTCTCGAAGTTCCACAGAAGCAGAATGACGCAGATAATGTTGCTAAAGTGGAGCTAGACGTTAAGTTCATATCAGGAGAGGATTAGGTGGCTGATGTGTTGACTAAGCCACTAACAATAGCTAGATTTTAGTTTTTTAAAAGCAAATTAACAGTAGAATCTTTATAGCTTGATCCACTGTCAATTTGTGAGGGAATATTATGCAATTCTCTTAAGGAAGAGCAGCATTTGCAACAAACTACAATAAACTAGTATAGATAAGTCCGAATTACTATGTCTTTGTTCATTAAGAATTGTAGATAGTTCTTAATACCAGTATTTAGGTAAAATTGTTATACTCTACCTTATTTATAGAAACATAATATTATATAAATTCAAGACATTGCCAGAAAATATAAGATAGAAATTTTTTTTTCTAATTATTTAGTTACAGAAATAAGCTTATTAGTCTCGTTCCAACGTAGTAAAACACAAAAGGCCCATAAACACACAATGCCAAAATTTTAGGCCAATTTCAGGTTCGTAAATTATAGTATAAGAAAACAACCTATTAGACGGATCCAAAATTCTTCAAGGATTGCTAACTCCCTACAATACGGGCTGTCTCTCTAGAAAAAAGCTTAAAAACCCTACTATCTCAAGGCATCTCGATTTGAAAAAAAAACACTACTCTTCTCCACTACCATCATCTGAAGAACTAAGTATTTAATGAAGATTATCCAGTAAAGACATCAATCATATTACTATTTATCATGGTAAAACTAACATCGTAGTAGATCAAAGATAATAATAATTGAACATCACCACTTGTCGATTCTCTCACTAACTTTAAAGGAAAAAGATGATCCAATCCTCTCAAGAAAACAGATTCTCACTGTAAAAAAAAAAAAATCAATATGGTATACAATTCTCTCTCATTTGTAGATTACCTACAAATTGTCGATACTTTTTTTAAAACAATAAATTACTTACAAATAGTCAATTTTTTTTTTCAAAAAAGCTTTTTTAGGCCAATCGCTATCTTTTAACCACTGACTTAATCATTAGAGATGTTGAGCGCAAAATAATCAACCAACATCTTCCACGATCATCAAACCATCATTACCGCCAAGGTGAGCCACGTTTCTTAATTTTACGGGATGAGTTAACCCATGACTTACCGTATCTGTCTATCTATCAATATAGAACATCACTAGTGAAATTTACTCCAAAACTCTCTGCGTTCGTCTCATTTGTTTTCGTTTCTGGATAGAGCTATGTCAGACTTTGGTGAGTTCTGTTGCTCGACTACTCAGCTGGATTTAGTTAAACCTGGAGATGGTTTGTGCCATGTAATAAGTTCTGCATTGTGGTTCAAGCAAGTTTCCTCCCTCCATTACTTGTCCGCGAAGACGATCTTGAAGAAAAATGAATATTCTATGGACTGATATTGGGAGCAGCACGATTTCCTGGTTGATCGTGATCAGCTATTGCATGAACTATAAACATCAAGATTAATCATCCGTGATATTCTTGCTCATATGTATATCCCCGTTAGGCATTCATGATAGATCAGATATTGGCTTGTGCTTGTCAAATGGCAACTGATAGTCTGCACTTAGATCTTAAGGTTTTGTATACGAAGGTAAGAATTGATGTCCCACGACGTACGTTTTGATGATGATGATGCTTCAAGCTTTGTGCCTGCTTCTGTATGAATTTGGGGATTGTGAAGGTTGAATTACAAGGGTCCGCTGATTTGTTTGGACCAACTTTTGGTTGGTGGTGAAGCAACTCGATTGTCTTGTTCACATGCTCATCATGGTGAGTGAATACGCAAATGGTTGGAGAAGAGCAAATTTTGTCCTCTGTAGGTTTGAGATTTCGTAATTAATTGATTATATTTTTTCTTCTTTTTGAGAATGATTAGGGTTTATGTAGGCACATATGAAGAATGATGTTTAGAATTTACGAACCGATTCGGAATTTTTTTTTAATAAACCGATATATCAGTATATCGTAACTGTGGCTTTTATAAGTACAACTGCAAATACTTTTAGCTCTGCTCCCTGGATGGATATCCTTATTCGTCTCTGTTCTGTTGGGGGCATCACTGTTATGGAATGCTCAAATATATCTTTCCCTCTGTTTCATTGCTGATGAATCTCTACACGTTTTGGTAGAAAAAACCACATGATTCTTGCGGTTATTATTTAAATGATTGTGCAAATATTGAAGGAAGAAGCATCACTGTATTTCTGATGGTTGTTTTGGGTAACGGAGCTCTTCTCAAATGCATAGCACCAGCCCCCGTAGCCGATGTTTTTGGGCATTGCTTTAATAAGCTATAAAAAGTTGAATAAAATATATAAATTTCAATTATATTTTTTTATTTTCTGAATAAATTAGCAAAAGATGAGATCATGTGCTTAGTTTAGTATCAATCACATTTCTGGTCAAATATTAGTATCTTCTTTTTTAGAATGAAAGAAAATATAAGAATGCCATAGGACTGTAAAAGATTCAAGAATGCGCCTCGTGTGAGAATTAATCTTATTGCCAAGAACATTAAAAAACTGTAAGATGTCTGAAATAGTTAGAAAGAAATACAATGAGGCAATCTTTACAAAACTGTTAAAATCTCTTTTCAATAAATGTTAATGGAAGAAGCATGGACCATGGTTCTTTACCTGCAAAACGACCTTCAAACATTTTTGACAGTTGAAGTCTCCAAGGTTTTTTGTGATTGATCTAATTATTAAGGTCATTACCTTCATAACATAAAATGAAATGAAAGTAGACAAGGTTAAGACTGTAATGAAGAATTTCAATCATCACTATATAAATCCAAAATTCTATAATCATCTCCAAGCTGGAGAAACAAATTTGTCACGTTTCTGATTTCTGCTATACAACAAAGTCACCTCAAATACAATACAATTTTAGGTTTTATGAAAATGGATCTCCGAATATCTCCTTGCCAAAACACTTGAAGAAACCAGCAGCCGTGAAACACCAAGTATAGAGAACAAAAGTTTGAACGAAATCAACATCTACCAGCCATCCTACAACTGTACCATGAGCTTCACGATAAATAGTAAATGCAAGATAAATAGTAAATACTGCATTTCGTAGCGTCAACTTATCAGGCATTGCCAGTTGTACTTAGTATTTGGATCTGTCAACAAATTGCAAGCAGAAGCACATAAAAAACTAGTGAGAGATTTACAAACCAAAAAAGGAAACAAAAGAGTAAAAAATCACTAACATTTTTTTAGAATGTTTCAAAAATGTTTGGGAAGGAAAAAAGATCAAAAGGAAGTACCTTGTTCACAAGCAAATTTACTTGCTCTCTGTACATTTCTTTCAAGTCCACAATATCGGCACGAAGTTCCTCCAACTAGAAAAGGCAGCCAATCAAAATGTCAGGATATGATAAATAACACAAATTTCACCCGACTTAGTTTTCCATTTAACCATACAAGGAAAAGGCAAAGGGCGTCAAGAAACTCCACTTCCATAATCACAACATGGAAATCATCCAGAAGTATACTACTCAAGTATATTTGTTATCAACATAATGACAGCCTTCATTTTCAAATTTGTTTCATATCTTCATCTTCTCTCAGTATTTGCATAGCAAGCAGCCAAACATAAACAACATCTGGTACATAATCCTCCAACACAATCACAAGAAGAAAAAAACCAGTCTTGAGTGTTATTCTCGGATAAAGTTCATGCTGAAGCCTCTGCTTCACTTCATTTTCTCTAGAACTCCATTTGATTTAGTGGGTGGATATTTGATACCAAAGGGCAGTTTAAAAGAAAGGAAGAGGAACAAGAAACAAAGATCTAGTGTTCCAATAGATAGATGCATTCTACAGTGTCCACACTTTTTATTTAAATAATGAGCACGCTGTGGAGTAAAAATGATCGATCATATTTCAGGGTAAACTTAATTCCACAGCCAATATTACATTTCTGGGAAGTGGGGGAAAATGCATTTCTTTTATTAGATAATGAAAAAGAAAATTCCTCCCAGGATTCTGGAGAGCAGCTTGAAAAATTTAAGAGGAGGCTTAGCATATTTCAATTATGCAATAAGATCTAAAAAACGTCAACAGCAAACCATACAATCATTCCATGAGAACATAAGGCTGATAAAATTGTTTGCAATGAAAGCAACATCCAAACAGGATGAACATACATACCTCCTCATCACGTTCACCCATTAACTCCAGGGCAGCAGAGTGCCTTCGTCTCAGTGCATCTAGTTCTGCCCGTATACCAGGCAAAAGGGCAGACTCTGCCCGTAATTTCTCACACTGCAGGGGATCAACACATTCATTGAACTCGATGACATGGGGGAATAAAGGAGAACAATAAAATAGAGGTGATTAACCATGCTGTAAATGTGACTTGCTAAAGAATGTGTATAAACTCACCTGTGCCGTCATTTTGACCAACTCTTCTGCAAGAGAGTCACGGATAGATTCCATGGATGCCTGAAGCACATAAAAATGTAAATAATTGATGATATGTGATAACAAGTAATATTTTAAGCATGAAGTTCAAGAAAAAGCAATACTTACCAAACGAGACATATATGATGCAAGTTCACCCTCTTTCTGACGAAGGGCAGATTCAAAAGCACTAGGTGTCATGCTCTTCATGTAGTACGGACTCATGGTTGCCTCTCCAAAATTTCTCCGTTCAGAAAGACTGTCGGATGTGTCCAAAGATGCTTGCAGATAATAGCTTTCCTCCATGCTGCCCAGGCTGCTAGCACTCGAGAGCTTTCGGGTTAAGTTTCCTGCAAAATTTGCAAAATGTCAAAAGAATACGAATGCAACAAAAAGTGAAGAAGTGTAAATTTCCAAAGTAAAGCAGACCATTCTCAAAAGCAGAGTTGCTCCTTGCGATCGGAGTTTGATCAGATGCAGCAGCAGAATGGATGCGAGCTGTCCTTTCCAACTCCAACCGAGCAGCTCTCTCTCTTTCAATTTCCTGAAACATATCAAGAGCTTAAATCATGAATCTTCCAAACACTATTACACCTTGAGTGCATATGATAAAATATGATAAATTAGGAAGATAGCTTTTGTTCTAATCTTTCAGAGAAATCTCCAAAACAGTGCTGAAATTATCTTCTACATAACCATCCAGCTTAATATGATTTCCAAATGTAGACTAAATTAATAAACTTCAAATCAGCTTCTATTAATGTCAAGATGACCTTACTAACAGATTGAAAAGATCAGGTTCTTGTAGGGAAAATTCAATAATTGAAAAAGAAGCGAGTTCTTCAGACCCATAGACAAAACATCAATAAGTGCCTTTTTCATGGATTCATTTATGTAGACATGTCAAGTTGAGCATTTGCTTCGAGTATTGTCGAGACTGAATTGTGTTTTAATGTGGTTGGTAAAGAAGAAAAACTGAAAAAGCAAAGGAAATCCAGAATAAAAACACATGCAACCTAATTAACCACAAAAGACATGAGTAAAAGGAAGCCAAGGGTAATACCTGTTGTAGAAGCTCTCTGTGTGTTAGTGCATCTTGTAACTCTTCCTTGTGTTTCTGCCTCAGTTCCTTAATTTGTCCTTCGAGCTGGTTTGCACGACCTTCTTGAGTGTCAGCTTCCTCCTTGGCTGCAAGGTATTCCTGCCTATTTTCAGCTGCTCTCTGTCTTTCCTTTTCAAGGGACCTACCTAACTGTGTTTGTTCGGCCCTGAGACAAGAAATCTGAGCATAACCAATTTCAGTTACTGTTCATCAAACAGTTCCATCAGCAACAAAATTTTGTTCATAGAAAGATAATGAACCTGCGCTTCAAGAACATTAATTCGAGATAAGGTTTGAGACAAGCGTTCATTCACAGATCGCTCTCTTTCCTCGGCAGCAGCAGCTTTGGACTCTGCTTCCTGAAAATGCAACAACTACTAAATAGAGGTGTCTTTACAAGTTTTACATGTTATATCGTAACAAGAAATAATGTTCAGGCACCTGGAGTCGAGAGTTTAGAGATCTTTCCACAGTAGACCAGGCTTCAGCCCTTCTTGCTGTTGTTTCCTAATGCCAAGTGATAAAGAGTCATACACAAAATAGCCTGGAATTTAAGGTTCATAAGGAAACCCATGGGAACTCTAAAGGCACGTGAAATTATAAATCCACCTGCATGGCTTCTATCTGCCTTAGGAGAGGCCTCGTAGAATCAGGAACTTGAGTAATCAACTCCTCACAACGTCGCTCGCTTGCCTAGAGAAAACACAAAACTACTCATTGCAACTAAAAGTAAATAGAGAGCAACATAAAAGTAGAAGCAATGATTTATTTACAGCAAGGTAAGAGAAAGTTCAACACACTTGATAACGTTTTTGAAGATCTTCAATGTCCCTGTGTAGCATGTCTTCTCTAAAAACAGCCTACAAAACCAAACATCAATTAAAAATGTATAGCAGAGAGTCATTTACCGCATATCAATAGGCACATATCAACAATCTCGATAGAATTAAGTATAAACCTGCTGCTCCTTTCTACTCAAAGTTTGTCTTAATTCATCCAGTGCCTGAACTAGCATGGTCTCACGTTCCTCTGCCTCTCTTAGACGACTCTCTAATTCGGTTCTGGCTTCATTATTAGCACGCGCCTCTGCTAGTGCTTCAGCCTCCTTGGCTGCAGATAAAGCATTCGTATAATACTCTTTCTGTGCCGAAAGCTCTGCTTGGTGTTTTTCTATTGTTTCTTGCAGCAAATTCTCTGTAGCTGTCTTGTCCTTTTTGATACTCTCTACTTTATTCTCTTCCACCTGGAAGTGGAACAAAAAGGCTTATATTGTTGATAAATATGGGTTGACGCCAAAACAACGACCAGAAAAGGAAGATATTTCAATTGAATTACATATGCAACTCACATAATAAAAGGCGTTTTTGCTGCAATTCACACAAAAATTACAACACAAAGAAGCTAACAAAGAATAGGATTCAATTTACGAATTTGCAAACAACATTCCTCCACTACAGAAAACGATTTTCATTTATTTGCAAGCTATATGTTTAGTAGTCCCTTTAGCTGACATCAGAATCTAAGTAAGGTTTCACAAACATTAAAATATTGGATGTAGAATCAAATTCGAAAGGCTCTACATGTTATGAAAGCTGAATCATCTTCTGCAAATACATGACAATATATCAATTATTATATATTTATGCGGAAAACTTTCAGCGAATGAAGCCCAAAAAAGTCTAGATACAATAGTCCATCTCATCCTGAATTAAATTGTTAACATAATAGCCAAAATGTCATGATAATATTAAGCCAGCTACATGACTGTTTAGAATCAAATTACCTGAACTTTGGTCATCAAACCTTTCTTTTCTTCTTCAAGCTCTCTAATCTAAACATTCACAAAAAGTGAGGAAACATGCAAAACATTCCTTAGATCAGAAAGCCAAGAGTATTGGGATTCGATATTGAAACTTCAAAGTTCAGATAATCAGTAAGCCTGCTAGATACCTGAGCTCTTAATTTTCTAATAGTAGATTCTTGAGCAGCCTGCTTTTTCGAAAGCTCTTCACCTGGAATTCATAAACAAAATATTCAGATAAGAAGAGCACATGAAACCAAAACATCATTGCTCTGCAAACTCCACCAAACTGTTTCCTCCCATACAAAAATATTACAAATAGAGGAAAAAGCCCTCTTCCATTGTTGATAAATCAAGTAGTTATGTCTCAAAAGCTTAATCTTGATTAGTCCTACAACCCTCATACAGCAAAGAGGTTCAACATGCGATAAAAAGGTACAGTAAGAGAATTTATATTATCTTTTCTTATGAAAGAATCAGAGTATGCAGAACCATTTGTTATACACGGAAATAAATGTTTGTGTGGCTCTACCTTCAGCCATAACCTGATTGATGATTTCATCCTTTTCCTTCAAAAGAGCAGCAGCATCGCTTTTTTTATTCTGCTCTCTCCTGAGTGTATCCCTTTCCTTTGTAAGAGCATAAACCTGTAACCAAATTCCAAGACAATATTCAATCTCAGCAGTAGGAAACCTAAAGCAATAAGATTAATTGTCATGGAAAAAGCATAATTTTTTTCAACTTTAAATGCCCAGAAAATCTCAACAGGCTGAAAATCAGCGTTTAAGTTGCAAATATTTCACACCGGTACAGTGTACTAGCCCTGCCAAGAGGCATTGGTACTATCCAAAACTTTCACGCTTTCAAATATCACCTATATTTAATTTTAAACCATTTCTTTTTGGCAAAAGATATATTATTAAGAGAGAGAAACGGCAAGGGGGGTGGTCGTGGTGGTTAAGTTATCCTCCAACACAAGATAAAAATAATTGGAATAAAATCACAAACAAAACCAGACAAGATGGAAATCCAATCTGCTGAACATGAGCTAAAGAGACTCCTTTAAGAGATCCTGAAGCAGAATGCTTTAAAGAAGCCAGCAAATTCGCAAAAGTTGCATTGAGAGGGAGAGTTCCTAAAATTCTGGAACCAAATATTCCAAATCACAGCAAACTCTTCACAAGCCATAAAACATATTGGTCCTTCCTCCTCCCAGAACCCACTAATGCATCATCAACAAATCCCTCATCAAGTCCAGAGACACCCACTGGCTCCAAAACAGCAAAAGCCTTTTTTCCACTTATCTCAAGCAAGTAGAAGATGTAAGAAATTACTACGGAATCTAGTAGCTATAGTATTACAGCACGTGCAGACATGTGTTGCCTATGTTCAATATGAAAGGAATTGCATATAAATGATCAAAACTTCTGTAACAGAATAGTCAACAAAAAATAATTTCAGAAAGTTTACAGACTGACTTTCTGGGATTATATGGAATATCAAGCAGTATTTTTCATCTGATTCATTAAGGGGCAATTGGACTTTAAGCAGCACATAAGGGGATAGCCTCTCCTTCCCTAAATCCCTACCCTCCCTGCTGTGAGCGGGATTTGAACCCAAGACACTTGGTACCATGCCAAGCGACTTTGCCAGCTAAGCTAGATATGTACTGTAGACAGTATTCATATGCTGATCAACATATGCAGAAAGACAAATATATATAAAAGAAAAGGCATGTTATAATTTTCAAATTTTAGAAGCATACCTTTCTTTCAAGAGTTGCAACCCGTTGGTGGTATTCCTCTCTCAAAGACTCAATTTCTGCATCATTGGATTTTCTCTGTTGCATAAAATTTGGCAATAAAAATGTAATATTCAGGCCAGAGAGGAAGTAAAGAAAAATAATTATCTTATTAACCAATAGCAGTATTTGTAAAATCAAGTCTTAATTTAATGAAACGAGAGATCAAAACAATATACAGGGAGAGTAGATGAGATTAAAAGTTGCGAGTGAACCCACAAAAAAATTACAATTTTTTTTTTTTTTTGGATTAAAACCCAACTAATGCAAGTTCACATGCCCAGGACAATCAATTTTTTGGGTCAAATTAAGGACTAAAGAATAAGTACCCATGTTATAGTATTTATTATAATATAAACTTTGCCAACAAGGGATGTTTTACAGTTAGAAGCATTAAAATCAGAGAATAGCTTACACGTAGGTGCTATAGGCAAATATACAACATCATCGTCAATTTTTTTACATCAAAATAGCAACCAAAAACGCAATAAAAATTCTTTTAAGACAAAAAACACAACCCATATAGAAGATATTAAGAACAACCTTTACAACACAGCCTAATTGAACTATCCTGTTCAAACATAATTGGCACAAACCAATTTTTTTAAAAAAAAGTACAAAAATAACCATTTTAATGTAATGCACGTATATGCACAAAGTACCTAATCAAATTATCTCGAATGTAGAAATAGTTTAAATTTATACAGACCTTCAATTCCTCAATAACAGCTTTCAGGTGCTCATTTTCATTCATCAACTTCGCAATCTCATCAGCCTTTGCCTGGAAGAAGAACATCAGAGTTGGATTTTTTAGTTTAATGTAAAAAATCAAACAGAATTACAATACATTTTTAGTTTAGACAACTAGCACAGAAAAAAAAAAAAATCAATTTTGTCGGTCAAAAGTTAAGTTGTGCAAAATTTTAATGATCTTCATAACAAAATAAGAAAAGCACAAGCCAAAATCGTCATTGTAAAGGAACTAGCCATTGATGAGCGGAAAGGTGAAGATGATATGTATTGAGCACTGGGTCAGTCCACTATGCCATAACAACCAGAATTTTAGAACATGAGAGGACAAAACTTTAATGAAATGAAGCAACAGCAGCAGATTTAACACTCACAAGTCACAGTGATATTAGTCAATCGTTAAGCATACAGAATCAAAAAATTATGCTTAACCATAATTCAGAAATCAAAATCAAGTAACATAGAGGTTGGTAGAGCTTAGTGTAAAACAACGACAAGGAAAAAAAAAAAAAAAAACTAAGAAAAAATTAGAGAGGATCTTGCTATCTACTGAAATAAATTATAGGGCTGTCAAGAAGATAGAATATTGAATTGACCGGTGAAGTGTTCCAAGAATATGAGAAAAGATGATCCATTATCTTTTGGTTGTGGTATGTATACTGTAAAAAGCTCCATGAGGACCAAAATTGACTTTTTTGTCCAGCATAAACATGTAATGTTGTCCAATTTTGAAAATAAGAGTAGCGATGCATCAATGGGGTTAAGTTTCAAGCCTTTTCTTTCCAGCATGATAAATCTGTGCCACATGGTAATACCTGAGCTTGCCTTGCCGCACCTTGTAGTGCAGTTTCCATCATTTTCATCTCAGTCTTCACCTTCTCTAGTTCAAGCATGGAATCTATAGAGTCTGATATATTCAACCCCGAGCTCAAGCGTTGCTCTTTAATGTCAATTTCACCATCATCAGCTTGCTTGTCTCCTCCAACTGGCTGATCATGGCCATCATCCGCCTGAGAAACTGGTCCAGAAACCATTTCTGAAGCCTCATCTGAGGGAGATACAGTTGACAGGGAAAACTCACGAGCCATGTCACTCACTTCAGCACTAACGGGCTGTGAACTGGATGAATCAACTGCAGCTTCAGCTTGGGTATCACTTGAAGCCTCAGCTCTGGTATCATTCGATGCTTCAGCTAGGATATCATTTGATGCCTCAACTTGCCCATCATTCGATGCCTCAGCTTGTGCATCATTTAATGCCTCAGCTTGAATAGGAGAACTTTGTTCTACAGTCTCCTCAGCTTCGGGCTCTCGTTCATCTGTGCTCTCAGGAGTATGAAATGCATTATGTGACTCATCATGCACGATGGAAGCAGCCTCAATTTCATCAACCCTGGAAGCTTCTGACTTGACCTCCAAAGTATCTGATTTTTCTGCAGGCCCCACCTCTGAAATCTTTTTCTCCTGTAGATCATCAACTGAATCTGGTATTTTAACATCATGGACAGCTGGCTCAGGAGGTTTGATAGCCTTCAGTTCTGATTGCAATTCGGACTCGAGAGCTTTGCCAGTGTCCGGAATGATATCATCTTTTTCTCAGCAATCTCTAGATGATCAGCATCTTTTTTTGTCTCAAGCATTTGATTTTCTTCTACAGGTGTGGTTTGTTCAGGTTCAGAATTCTGTGACTCTTTCTCCTCAGCAGTAGGCAGTTTATGTTGAGATACAGTTCTGTCTGAAGATTCAACAGTACTATCCTCAGTTTTATGCCCCATAAAGGACATAACCGGCCATAATGCCGGAGCTGGCAAGCAAATAGAACAGAGATCAACCACCTAGTTAGTTTCACTAATTCTAATCAAGCATAATAACTTTAAAAACAGTATGCATGAGCCCCAGCATTCCACAAGTTCTAAGAACTACAATATTCAAAAAGGGTCTAATCACCGAAATTCCAAAATTAACGCGAATACAATCCAGCGTAAGCATTTTACTTGAAAGCTGTAATCAGATTTGTTAACAGGTAAGAGAAGAACATACTTAATTAAAGAATGAATGAATGCAAAGTAGTACCTTCGGTGTTGCTACTAGAATCGGATTTATCTTCGAAACCAAGTGCATTATCAAAATTCTTCTCGATATTCTTGACGCTCTCACTGAGCTTATTCACCGCCCCTGCTAGATCAGGGAAGTTCCCTAGCGAGACTTTCCCGCTAAACCAAGCCATCTCTTTAACAACTTACCACCGAGCACAAAAAGAAAACAATAATTTTCGATCCAGATACTCACATCAAACCCCTGCATTGACACACAAATTGATAAATACATATCAAATAGTGGGTCACAACTAGCCTAAAAACAAAAAATAAACAAAACAACGCGAAGATCCCATTGGAAAAATGCAAAATTGAATCTAGTTCGTGATCTACCAGATTATGGTTCGGTTTTGAATGGAACCGAATTGCGGAAATTGGAGTGAGATTTCGAATTGAATGCAAAGAATCTAATTAATTAAACATTATTGAAAATGGAAGGTTTTGGGATTGGAAAGGATTGAACCTTGTTTGGGGAATGCGTTTGGGCTTCTTGGAGAATCACATCATGGCTCTCGATGATGATGATGATGATGATGATTCAATAAAGAAGCGTTGCTGAGCTGTTGGTGGATTTCGGTGCTGTTTTTGATAGACAGAGAGAGGAGAGAAAAATGGTGGTTTTCAAATACGAGGGCGGAGCTGGATCTGACTGCTCAGTAAATACTACATGTACTGGATTGGAATGTATATCATTTCTATTCTGCTTTTTGCGGTTATTTTCTTTATAATAATAATAATAAAGAATAAGTTATTTTATATCAGAAAAGAAAATTACACTTTTTAAAGGGAAATAAAAAATTAAACATGTTGCAACAACATCAAGCAACATTTCCATTCCATCGTTTCTATCCTATCAAAAATTCCCATAATTAAATTATAATTTACTCTTGAGGTTGATTTATTTGGATCAGGATGAGTGGTGGGTTGGTTCATTTTTCGTATTATTATCAATCAATAAATCAATGTAAAAGGTAAGAATTCAACCTAAGAGCTACACATTAGCATTTTATTTTGTGTTGCAATGAATCCCACGTAAACCACTCTTGCTCAGTGGTAACATGAAATGTGTGTTTATGTTTAATATTATGTGTCATTTATGATATCTACCCATTAATTTTATGCCATCTATCTTTATTTACGTGTATTTTTTCCAATAAATTTTTGTTATGTATACTCTAATTTTATTCTCATCCACACCCTATCAAAGTTAGATTTCCGTCAAAATTTAAATCATTGAATGCATTCACCAGGTTTGAAGAGAGAGCAATTAGCGAAGTTTTTTTTTTTTTTTTAATCCCAAATTTTGAAAGAAAACATCTCGTGATTTATTTGTTGTTATTTGTTTTTACTTAAATCAAATAAAATTTGTGTTATAAACTTCAGAATAAGATTCATGTAGATATTTTTTTTATTAAATGCAGGACAAAAAAAATAAAATATCGGGTTAATTATTTCAAAGTACTTTATTAAATGTCAAATAGACGGATACATAGTTAATGAATGATCTCACTCAATAAATTTGTAAAATAAAAATGTTTTAATCAAATTGAAAAATCATAGAGAGTCTCCATTAAAAAAAATTGAACTATACATGAACTACATGTAGGATAAATCCAATTTAATTTTTATACATAACAAATTACTAAAACAACTAAAATAAACCAAAAGTACTATACAAACATTATTCATTCATTGTGCATTGTGTGTGATTTTATGATTCATTTATTATTCATTATGTGTGAATTTCATATTCATTCGTTACGCTCTTCATTGTTTTGCCCAAAAATATGCATTTTGATCCTTTTTTAAAAAAAAAATTCAATATACAATTTTATTTTTTATTTATTTTGGTTCATTCATGCTAAGAAGAGAGAGAGGATGATGATGTCCATTTCGACTCGTCAAGTTTACTACCAATTTATTCGTCTTCAAAAGTAAAATCCATTTGTGGTTGTAACTAACGATAAAATGATCGGAGGAGATACATCAAAATTCAAAAATATTTTGAGTTTGTCTTTATTTTGATTTTAATTTTAATTTGTTTTGTATGTATTAAAATGAGTTTTAAAGTTTTAAACAAGTTTATTTATGTTATTTCTATGATTTTGAGGTATTTTCGGACAAAAACGTAGCTGAATTTGGTCTTGAAATGTCCAAAATTAAAAACCTTAACTTTTTGATGATTTTTCTAACGAAATCGAGTTCGTAAGAAATTACAAAAGTTGTAAAAAATTAACAACAGTCTCTTTTCTTTTTTGCCAAAACCAAGTGTGCAGGCTAGCTGCTCCAAACCTAAGCACATGGGCCTAGTCCTTGGCCTTTTCTTTTCTTTATTTTTTTAATTAAGAATTTTTAGGCAATTTTGTGGAACATTGAACATTATTAGTTGTTTTTTTTTTTTCAATGCAGTGTAGCAAGCACTATATATATATTAAAATTAATAGATATTTTAGGCTACATTACTCTTATTATTTAAAATTTATTTTTTAAATTTTCCTTTTCTTCTAAAAATTATCTTCCAATAATTTTTTTTAAAAAAATTATTTATTGATAAATATGATTTATTTTTCTCTATATTTGAATTTTAGAATAAAAGTTTAAAACATAATTATTTTTTATTTTTTAAAAATAAATTGATATAATATATATTATGAATTCTTATAATTTTTAAATGACAGTTACATATATATATACAAATATATCATTATTTAAACGAGTTAAAAGAGAAATTCGTGTAATTAGTTTCAATGCACTATATATAATCAAGACGTATAAAAAATATTAAATCTTCAATTTTATTAACAATTAATTATACATCTTCGTACATAACACTAATTATTTGCTATGAATATTTAAAAAAAAACATTATAAAACTAATTTATTTGAAATAAAATAATTAAAATATTTTTTTTAAAGAACCATCCAATTATTTAAGTATAGTTTTTTATACAAATATTATTGATTATTTTGCAAATAAATATATATAGATCAAATGCATATACTTTCAAAAAATAATCTTTTAATCGGTATTAAATAAAAATATTTTTTATTAGTTAATTTTTATACAAGTCTATACATTCGCTATAACTTTTTTTTTATATATACATTCTTATGGAAAAATATATTTTTAAAGTTTTTTTTTGAATTCTTGATAATATTTCATTTTAAATTATTACAAGTTTTTATTTAAGAATTGATACATAAAGAAGACTAATCATGTTTTTTAAGTAAAAAGTTTATAAAAAAAAATTAATAAAAAATTTAATGAAAAGTTTATAAAATTTTTCTTATGAAAAAAATTTAATTTTGAAATAATTAAATAAATTATTTGCTCATCACAATGTAAAACATAAAATTAACTTAAATATGATAATAAAACAAGATATCAACATATGTAACAAACACAACAATTAATGGATCTAAACAAACACAAATGACTATAAATCAAATCTCACAACAATGCACGGGTATAAATCCTAGTATAGATTAAATCTCAAGCTTTTTTGCTAACCTTAAGTATGGTTTGGTTACCAAAAAGATAGAAATGAAAGATTTAGAATAAAAATGTGAAATTCAAAATAAAAATTACAGAATTAGAATGATATTTTTTATTTCAAAATTGCATTTGAATTAGTAATAATGAATCAAAACAAAATTTAAAATTTTTAATATTTAGTTTTTAAAATGAATAAGAATAATGATATAACTTACTATGTCTTTCCTCGTCTATGGGTGCCTAGATATCCATCATATGCTTTTCCTCATATGAACCCCACCTTTAACTTTAAGACTATGCCATAACAAGGTGCTACTAAATGGAAGGATCTTATTAACATCCATGAATGATAAATTATAGATCGAATTGCCAAATCGAAAAAATTAGATACTATGCTATTATTAAATTCAACATAATATTAAATAAATAATAAAAAATTTGAAATTAAACGAAAATCTTTTTATCACACCTATTAATCTTATAATATATAAATATCAATATAAATTATCTTGTGCTCCGGAATCAAATAACAATATTTAAGAAATATATTTTTAATACTCTTATATATTTTTTGTTGTGACTTCGAATAGTAATTTTATAAATCATGATGATAGTAAAAATGATTCAAGTGATTGTGACGGTGATAATGATGGAGGATAATGAGAAGATTGTGGTGATAATATATTAATAACAATAATATATTTTATTATCACACGTATGTTAGAAAACTTTTAATAAATCTGGCGTTATCTTTTGGACGGAAACAGATGTTTGTAAACAGATCAAAAAATACGGCGTGTTAAAATGAAATGTAATATAGAACTATAGAGGACGCGTTCTGATATACCAAAAATGTGTTATAACACTTAAACTAAAGGATGGTCGTAGTAATTTATCCTGAAATAAACTATAATGCAAGAGTAAGGAGAGGAAGGCGCCTTTTATTTTCTCTAGCAATCTACTAATAACTATGTCACCGATCATGAAAAGTATTCATCTTGTTTTACGTTTTCGTCCAATAAATCTTGACATAAAACCACGAAGGTCTTGTAGAAACCTACTTTATAGCACAAAAAACCCACATGAGACTATGAGAGGCATAAAATAAATAAACTGAAAAACAAATAAAATAAACCTTAAAATTGAGCTCATCGTCACTAGGTAAACTAGAAATTGATTGAAAAAAAAAATCATGTCTGTTAGTAACATGGAATTATCCATAAGAACAAAGATAATATGAAAAAACTAGTTTTGCGATCGGTGTTAACGGGAATAAAGAAAAAAAACTCTACTACGAGAGAGAAAGAGTGTTTGTTGATCGAAAGTTCTGACTAATTCAAGAATATAGAAACTATCAAAACATAAAAAAAATAATTAAAATATAATGACCTAAAGGTTCTTTTTTATGTTCAATATAAAATGATGTTTTGTTATGAAAAATTAGTAAAGAATGGTATTAATTATCATAAATACAAAGTATTCAAACAATAAAAGGAAGTGGATTTTGATTCCATATATAGTTATAGAAATTTTATAAAAGTTTGCTAATTAAATTTATATTCAAAAATTTTCTTAAAATTATATTTAAAATTTAAATTAAAGATAAATTGTTTTTTTAGTATTATTCACGGAGATTTCTCTAGTTTATATAATAAAAGAAACCATAATATAGCGCCAACAAGCAAAAGAAAATTTGTCCTTTTTTTTTTTCCAGAATCTGCTAATATATTCCATTTGTTATGAATTTTGTAAATTGATTTAAATTATTTCTTAACATCTTTTTATTTTTGTTTTTTTTTATGAAAAATCATATATATTTAGTTAAAAATAACTTTTAAAGTAAATTAAACCTTTGTTACAAATATGAGTGAAATTTTGTTTAATCAAAAGTTAAAATTTTAACTTAAACCCATTTCATTCTAACTTATTTAAAATATTTAACTTTTGAATTTTATTTTCACTCGCACTCATTATTAACCAAACATGGTATAAGCCGTTGATTGATCCTAAACTTATCTCCACCGTCGCTTTTACACTACAAGAGGTCAACAAGCAGAAATATAAATACTTGCTATCTTCGCTCCACATTTTAAATTTTGTCTTTTTAAAAACTGGCTATCTGCGTTCCAAACTCTCTCCAGCGAACCTCGCAAGAATCTTCCATCACTGTAATTCTCTTCCGTCTCCGTTTTCGAGATCATCAGCTTTTCTTTTCATTATCCTGAGGTATTATTCTCTGTTTGGATGCCAATAAAGCCTAGGAAAGTTGAACAAAGACAAAAAGAGCAATTTATTTGTTTTTTCAGTACAGCAAACAGAAACAATTTCAAATCTTTTACCCGTCCTTTTCCTCACACTTTCTCACCTGCCATACAGTGCTAAAATGTCCTACTCAAACTTTATATTTTAACTCTAATTCTATTTAATTCGCATTAATTTACACTCGCTTTATATACTCTCTGAATTTGAAGTGTTGATGGAATGAAACGATAATGGAGATTACCGTCAAAGACGATTGAATCGGTTGAGAAATGAATAAATGCAGTTACAATGACATCCTTTTTCCCGCCAGAAACGGTTAAATCAGTCGAAGGAGAATTAGGCAAATCAGATTTCACACCGAGAAAACTGGTTTTCACCGAGTTCGGCTTGTCTCCGGTCGTCAGTGCCTCGCCGCTGCCAACGTCGCCTCAGGAGCGTCTCCTCTCGCAAACCAAGCTACATTTGCTTCCTCGTTCTTCATTTTCCTTTATGTGAGATCTCTTCAAATCTCCTTTTCTGTTTCCATTCACGCTAGTTATTTTCATTACCAGTTGATTCGAGGTGGATGTGATTGATTTTGATTTTACTCTCTCTGAGATTGGTAAACTGTTTGGTTTAGCCCTAATTGAGGTTTTAGAAACGTCCAATTTCGCAGTCAGGCTTGCCGTAACTTTTGACTTAAACTTAAAAAATCTTGAACACAATATGGTATTGTCTAAATCGGTAAGCTTAACAGCATTTGATTGATATGTTATCCAAAATGATATTTTCTTTCCTTTTATTTACTTCTTGCAGGAAGTCAAAGTCTCCCAGAATATCTCTGCGACAGGCTAGCACCAAAATAAGTATTATTACTCCAAAGAGCCGTAAACAGTGTCATTGCAAGCAATCAAAATGCTTAAAGTTGTGAGCACTCGACTTGCGGCTTCATTGTGTTACGGATGAATTTACTTGATTATTGTTCGTCAATGTCTTCTGTACCTCTCGTAGAGTCTTGTAATCAAATTTCTAAACCTGTTGCTTTGCAAATGGTATTCCCATCCAATCGGATACCTCCAAATGGATTTCCTTTACTTAACGCTGGATAATTAGTCAGTGTATATAGAATGTAATATTATAGTGCGGTTCTATATGTAACTAAAAATTCTCATCTACAATGGGCAGGTACTGTGAGTGCTTTGCTTCTGGATCATATTGTGATGAATGCAGTTGTTCTGATTGTCATAATAATTTTGAGAATGAGGATGCCAGGAGAGAAGCCACTGAATGCATCCTAGAACGTAATCCAAATGCTTTCAAGCTAAAAATCATTGGCAGTCCATGTAGTCCTGTAAACTACGGGGTATGTAAATTGCCTTTTCATGCAATGAAAGATCTATTTTATGGTTACTAGATTTATCACTCACCCATGGGTCATCGCAAATTGCATAAACTGAATTAGTTAGATAACTTGTATCTTGATTTTGGACAGCAATTGGGATTTGCTTGTTTTACTGTGAATGCTGCATGGAGTTATTTATATCTCTTGTTCCTTTCTTTTCACTGCAGCCATTGTTGTGCAATTAGATACATTGCTAGTTGTTTAAAAAGATTATTTTTGTTTGTGCTTTGATTTTTTACCGCTCTGAGAATGCTTTGTTACAAATATAGGATGCAGCAAAGGATGTTTTGTTAATGGCTAAACACATCAAGGGATGCCACTGTAAAAGAACTGGTTGCCTCAAAAAGTACTGTGAGTGCTTTCAAGCAAACATTCTCTGCTCTGAAAAATGCAAATGCGTCAACTGCAAGAATTTGGGAGGAAGTGAGCTGGGAATGATTGTTTCCTGGGGAAATCATAGTAAGACCACAGCCTACATCCAGCAAGAAAAAAATGCTGCTTCATCAGATGCTATTGTTTCCTCGAGCCATATCTTCTCTCAAGAATCCAGAAAAAGAAAATTTCGAGAACCATCTGATTCAAACATGAGAGATACAAATATTCACGAGTTCACAAATCACGAGGTGAGTAATTCTTCACGTGCTGACTCGAGTACGATCTTTGCTGGATATTTGGTGAGAACATCAAGGTTGTTGTTGTTAATATAGATATGATGAAAATGATCCTTTAGCAATTAGCCTTGATTTAATGACAATGGCTATGTGCTTGGATTGGATCTACATCTCGATGGACTTCAATATTTTCCATTCTATTTATTTCTTGGGATATTGTCTTGATCTCAGTAGTTTAAATCTCCATTTTTATTCCATTGCTGTGTTTTCATGAACAGGCTTAGACCTTTTGGATTCCCTTTATTTTCTGTATATTACCATGGTCTGTGTCGGCTTAGACCTTTATTTTCCACTTATCTATCTCCCAACTCAGTTAAATTTTGTTTTTTTGGTTACGATAATCAGGTGAATCCAGTTGGAGTTTATGTTTCGTTCCCTGCCTTACCTGCCGATCGTGTTTGTCAAACTGCTAGTTCGGCAGCGTTGGGCTCTTCAAAGTTTACGTACAGGTTGTTATATTTGCTACAGATTCTTTAATTTTTTTTTTCCCCAACTGTTGACAAAGTTCTATGTTTCTTAATATTCGTTGATAACTAGTGTTGGTGATCTCTATACCAGATCGCTCTTAGCAGATGCTATTCATCCACTGGACACAAGAGAGCTCTGCTCACTTTTGGTGGTTGTATCAGATGCTGCAAAGTTTCTTGCTGGTATGGACTGTAATAGATATACCTGCTTATTTTTCTGTGAGGTGAAGAACTGAAACAGACATGCACACGTTTTGAACATTCAAACACATGCATACCAAAATATGATCAGCATTATTTCCAATATCTCTCTCTTTCTCTACTGAAATCAGTTATTCACTTCCATAATTTACCACTGGGCTGTTCAATGTTGGTTTTTGCATGGGGTGGTGTCTCATAATCATATATTTTCCAATCAACTTTCTAACATTAAACACACTTACGAGTTAGACATGTTGCTTGTCACGTACTACAAATTGAAAATTACTATGTATTCCTCATAGAAATAGAAAAAAACTTTTCAAGAATTTCTGATCATGTTCTACAAGCTGTCTACATATATAAACGGTACTGCAGAAGTGCCAAAACCCGATATTCTAATTTCTAGTGATTTCTCATTCCCACTGATCTAATTTCGTTTACAAAGATCTAGTTTCCAGTCCAAGCTCTGTTCGTTTGTACAAGCTTATTTCCTTTTTAATGTTTGTTTACGTGCTCAGGTCTGAGGTAAACTCCATTGTATCCACTTGTAAGAGCAATATGAGTAATGGAATTTTACACAGTTGGATAATGCATTTTCCCTTTCCAGACAAAAACTGCAAGGCAGAGATAAAAAATGTAAAAGAATACCAGATGGCCTGTGATCTTGCGACCCAGCATGAGAAAGAATGCAAAAAAGAACCTGATGTTCAGCAAGTGCCTCATAACCAATTTCCTGGGAGCCAAACTGATATAGCAGTCACGGATAATTCCAGATCTTGTGAAAATGGTGTGCAGGATGCAGGTCCGTTTTCAACTGAAGGAGATGACTTGATGTGCGACGAGAACGACAAATTGTTCACAAGATCTGCTTCCCTAGACCAAAATGCGAATAATGGATGCAATGAAGGTGTCAGGATGGAGCAGGAAAGACTTGTTTTGACATGTTTACGGGATTGTCTTGGAAAGCTCATCGCTTTTGGAACAATAAAAGGTATGATTTGCCTTTTGTCATTCTAAATAGATACAGACACTACCAGTTTGAAAGCTTATCAACAATTCAACATTAAAAACTACGCAACTCCAATAAATATAACCTCGAGGAATTCCATCTAAGACTAGCCATAAGTAGAATCCAACAATTTGATGCTTGAGAGTTTGGAAAAAACTTGAAAACTTTATTGAAAGCAGATTAAAAATATTGAGCACATATTATCTTCGAGAAGAATTAATGTTAAGAAACAGTGGGTTGATATAAGAATTGTAGGATTGGTGACCTTTTATTCGAAAGTATCAACTTCGTATCAAGTAGTGATCTGTTTCAAATTTACATAATCAACTAGATTTAGCTCAATGGAGGAAACATACAGCAAGATTCTTCCTCATTCTCACCTCCTTTCTAATAGCACATGTTATAAATGAGGCTTTACAAGCGAGTCCATTTTCCAATTGAACCCTAAAAAGCAAGTTGTCTGCGGGTAAATGTTACAGTCTCTTGTTTTTGCCCCTGGTTCTTATCAGTATATATGTAAAGCTTCGTTTGTTTTGACTTTTATTTTTTGTCAATTGACCTATAAATTAATGCGACTTCATCTCCATGTTTTTGCATTGCTGGGAAACTGGTTTTCATCAGCGACAGCTGTGGTCGGTTCAAACACCTTAGCACTTGCAACATCGAAGCAAGACCTGAAATCTGATTGAGAAAGCTGCTGCAATGACATCATAAAATCTCATGGCAGAGATGACACTGACGCGTTTCTTCTTCAAGCGAGGTTCTTGCTACTGTTGGTCACAGTCTACCATAGAAAGCTGTGTTTTCCATAGATCTCGTGTACACAAACAAAATATCCATGAGTTTAGTCGGGATTCGGGATGGAAGATGATGTATATGGTTGCATCGGCTCAAAAGGAGAACTTCAACATCTTCGGCATGGATTCTACTCCATCTTCTGATGTAATAAGTGTTGGGAATAGTCAATCTCATTGCTCGTCTTTTTGGTTGAAAGTAAATCGTGCTATAATCCATCTTTTTTCCATGTCCTTTTTGTTGAAGAACTTTGATTCATTTTAATCAAGCTTTTATTCTTGTGGTAATTTGAGTTTTTCTTATTGGTCATTGTCTAGTAAGGGTTTGGTCCGATGGTAAGAGTTCTGGACTTGCAATGAAGGGTAAGAGCTGGAGAGACCTGAAAGGCTGAAAGCAAAGGAGTCACGGGAATCACCGCATGCATGATGGAAATTTTTTATCCTCTCGCAGATTAGGTCCTGTACGTAGGGAAAATGAAAAAAAAAAAAAAAAAAAGGAATGTATGACAAAGAAAAAGAAGGAAGATATCAAGGAATGATGAAGAATGGGGGATTTTGAATGACTCGAGGAGAAGTAATGGCTAGTGGTGGGAAACACGTCATTGGTTTCCCTGGAACCGGGAGACCGTATTTGCATGGCAAGTAGCCCACCATAACTCAACCCTTTAGTGAAAAAAAAATAATAATAATAAACAGAAAATATCCTATTTTGTTAATATGTTTGGATTTAAAAAATGTACCAAATTAGTGTCATAAAATGAACAGACAATTGCTGAAACTTGATGCATAAAAAACTTTGACTACCAAATGAAAATGTTGGTCAACTGGTCAGTGCCACTCATATAAATATATGATATGCCAATCAGGGAAAGCTCTAAAGATAAAGGTACACACTTGACAGCATTTCAAAGCATGATTCACTGGCCTAATATATCTGCGACTGACTTGTTGATGATCTGGAATAGCTCTTCCCTGTAAGCCAAAATGAATACATATACAAAATTAAGGTTGCCGCAAACTTTGGATAACATATTAATCCAGTTTTAATCACACACTGATCAACATAACAAACCATACGAAATTCATGCAAACCAAGGAGTATTTTAAGAACATCAACAGCAACAAAGCCAAATAGTTATTGGTTTTACTTACCGAGTGGGTTTGAACAAAAGATATCGATATATAAACCACTGAAATGGATGGAAAAGCTTAAGTTAGTAATATATATGGAAGACAAACGATGCTTTGTGAGGAAATCAACAGACCAAGAGAAAGTAAAGAAAGCTTAATTTTTTAAGAATCATTTGGTCCACAGATATTTGTAGCAAGAGCTTAAAGTTCCTTTTCGTTTGCTCTAACATTCGTAAAAACCATAAGTTGAGGTAAATTACTTACCGCAGAAAAAAGTATGCCAATCAATTCTAGAGCACTTGGGACAACAGGCAACTTGTCAATGGCCTATACATAAAAAGGAAAGCATAGATAAATAATTAGAGTTCTTGCTAAGGTGGAAGTCAGTAAGATGATAAGCTCTATGCTGACATGAACAGGCAGGGCATTTAATTTCAAAGAACTTTGCTACAAATATCATGAAAATAGGAAAAGCTGTTGTGCATATGGTTTATCTACTTGTTAGATTTGTTCCCATAAATGTGGAGTTAATTTTATCCACATAAAATTGAGCAAAGTTCTGCCATATTATAACTCTAAATTTGGTTTTCTTTACACAATTCCAAGGCACTTCTGAAATCAGGGGTAATAAAAACTTCACATTGCCTGAACCAGAACAGATCAGTGTTAATCTATCACTTGATCTACGGAATAGAAACTTGGTGGATGTTTCTATTGATGACTATATAAAAACTTCAATCACCATCACTTTCTACGGTACTTGTTCAGTTATACGCTTAAATCTTTTTTTATTTGCAGACCTTTCCCCTGAATCACTCTTGTTCTCTATAATATTCAAAAGAATGAGTCACATAAATCACCATTAAGAGATTTGCTGATGCCCAAATGGCTACCAGTGCTGCAAACCCCAAACCAACAAGCGCCAGCCTATCTTCAGAATCTTCCCACTGTTTCAGACCAATCCAGGGTATGTCAAAAAAACAAAACCGTCAGATGGCTGAAAGTGATTTGGCTTCAGAAAAAAGCAAACAAGGTTAATTTGAAGGAAGACAACCAACCATCCCATGCATCATAATAAACAAGAATCCTTGTCCATTGTCAACAAATTTGAGAAAATTTCAACTTTACATAATATAAGAAACTAAAACCATGAGAGGGAAATGATAATCAAAGAAGCTGCAAACAGATAAATGACAAGCAGACTGCATTTCACTATGAAAAGAAAATAAATAAATAAATCAATATTCAAAGAACAAGAGAGAGGTAGAGGTGAACACTCACAATGTTTTGAACAGACTTAACAATGCTGAGGGAGGTTGATGACTCAGAGCTTTCCCCAGTAGCCTTCACAACAACAGCAACACGGCTCTGTCTTTCTACAGTGCAAAATTATCAAGATCAAGAAAGAATGACAACGAAAGCACAAGCATCAACAACATAAGGAATTTAACTGAGTGAACTAGATCAACTTGCTACAATATTACAAACATAAAACAAAGTATTGTGCATGAAACAGACTTTGTCAGTTCAGTCAGTTGCTCAAATCACTAATATGTAAAATCTCGTACATAGAATGTTGAATCTTAAAACCCCAAGAAAAACAAATTTGGACCAACAATTGAAAACTTCCATAAATTTAACATGTGATGAAAAATATACATCTCATTGACAAACACCAATTCCCAAAAAAAAGAAAAAAGAAAAAAAAGCATTGTCCATGGTTTTTTCTTCTAAACGAAACTGATAGTTTGTTGTTTGCTTCCAGCTTGCCATGAATCATTCAAGAGAAGAGCATAGCTGAAACATAAGGTAAGTTTTTCCCAGTTCAGCCTATTCTATTCAATAATTTGGGCCATTATCTGAGACAGTTAGTCACATGCGTAAATGAAACATTAGCTAATTCATCTAACTCTTGCTCTCATTTTCACTCTATTTACATTGACATTTTCCCTTAAATCTCAAATTTTTCAACATCAGTAAGACCCCCGCTTTTCACCAAGGTAACAGCACACACTCGATGCCCATGATCTACTGCTTTACTTTTCAATGATACAAGTCTCAAAGAGTAGCATCTTAATCATGATCTCAACGCATACAAGCTCACCATATTCTACTTCTAAGATAAAGTGTTGCTAATGAGCATAACCAGTTTCTACAAGCAACTGATATATTTACAGAAAAAAGCAAGGCGAATTGAACAGTTGAACTGAACCAATAAAGCTCATGAACTTAAAATGATAAGTAGATCTTTTAGAATCTATAATGTTTACCTTTAATGGGAGAAAGAGGGAGCATTTGAAGAGTGCTGAAAAGGGTCTTTTTACCATGGACCAACAATGGTGGAGAAGGCAAGTTCGCAATAATGGAAGCCATGTCTTCTTCCTAAAATAAAACAACAGAAAGAAAAAATCAAATTTTGAGAGGTTGGTTTTTTCCATAAAGTCCAGATTGATGAGAGAGCTGAGATAACACTCCATGGTTTAAAGAAGAAAAATGGGTTTCAGAATTTGTACTTCTTTGATTGCCGAGAGAGAGAGAGAGAGAGAGAGAGAGAGAGAGGTGTCTAAGCGCCACACAGAAATGTTTGGGTTTTGTTTGTGGCTAGGAGCCTTTGTTATGCAAATTTTGGTTTTTCACTTTTTACGCAGTGGAGGTCCCTGTGGTTTAATGATTTTGTCACACTAAACCCTGTAGTACCAAAGAGGCAATTGAGTCATCAGATTTTATTTTTCATATTAAGTGAGTCCTTCCGTCCATTATATTTCTGTTAAATTCAAAATTTTCAAGTTATGAAAGACACTTGGCAGATGTTGATTGAGTATTAAAGTTAAACGGAATATAAAACACCTAAAAATTCTTAATTAATCTAAACAACCTAATAAAAAAATTTCTTTCCTCGTAACATTAATCATGTGATATAAACTAAACATTTAAATTTAAGATTTTTGTTTTCATTCATTATAAATCTACATGATCCCAATTGTACTTAGAGATATAATACATGTTTATTTTAATTTTAATTTTGATAAATCCTGTTCTATGTTTTTATTTTTATCATAAATGGAACTTTAAATATATCTTTTTTTCTTTTTTTAGATTTATTTATTAGGATTTTTCTCGTTTTATTTTTTATTTTTGATTATTTAGCCAAGCAACACATGCCAAATGTTATCCATAATTTGAGAATTTTGATTTGAATTTTAACAGAATTTGGTAAAACTTTTAGATGGAGGGACCCCAAAAATCAAATATAAAGGACCCGATTGCCCTTTTCGTAACACAAGATTTAGTGTGACGAAATCCTTAAACCACAGGGACCTCCAATGCCGAAAATCCTGAATACATATATATATTTGTTGATCACCTGATCTGTCGTTTCCTGTTAATTTACCAATTTTCCACAGAATCCATTTTGTTTTTTACTTTGATAATGACCACTACAGCCGAGTTTAAGTCAGTTTGTATCGAAGCAAATGCCAGTGTTCAAATTGCAACTATGGAGATTTTCTGCTGCTGCTGATACCAATACAAGTAGATAGACAATGGATGCAAAATGAAAAAAAGGTACTCAACTCACTCTTTTTGATAAACCCAGCAGTGCATCAGTGGATTTCACCAGCTTTGAGTTTTTGTATAAATATAATTAACATGGCTTCTTGCGTTTTGCTTCCTTCTATCTTTGATATTTTTCATGCCCTCACTCCATTGCAGTATGAACTAATTTAATGGGTTTCTGCAACAATCTCTAACTATTTAGTTTGTTTCCACTTTTATTTGCTTCTGGAATCTTTCTGGCCTCTTCTTTGAGTTGCAATGTCTGTCTGTATTGACCTGTTTCAGCTTCACTCAATGACAATGTTAACTCTTTGCTACCACAAGTTCTTTTCTTTGTCTTATGCAAACCCGTTCTCTACTCTATTTATGTAAATTTTTATGTATATTATTCCCCTTGCTACCAGATGAATGCCTTTTTTCTTGAATCTTTTTACTCTTTCGAGCAGGTTAATTGGCATGCAGTCTGTACTTTTGAAAAATACGTGTTTGCATCAGTTGTTCTATGCAACTTTAATTTGCCCCTTTTCTTCATCATATTAGGAGGACCTCATTCGTGCCCATTTAATGCCGTCACTAGATTGCTATTCGTGTGCCACGCCATTCATAACAGGACAGGCACTTCTTCACTCTTAGAATAAAGTCAGCCAGCCACTGTTCCGATGAGGACAAGTCAACATCCTGAGATTTTGACTGAAAATCAGCTGATTTTATACCAGGAATTGACTGCAGTACTAGAGAGTGTGGATGAAATCATGAGTTGGCTTTGCTTCTTCAGTCACATTATCAGTGAGGCTCAGGAAAGATCTCATTCTGATTATTAAGTGCAAAGATCATGGCTCCTTTCTTCTTCCTTCAAGCACAACTGATTTCTTGTGCTCTATGCTTTATATAAAGGGATTATTTAAAACCTGCCTTCCTTACCAGAGCTTCGGTGACATCATCCACATGCCTCTGCAGTTGAGTTCCATTCGAATTATCGATTCCTTGGCCATTTTTATGTATGTCCTTTCGATCTAAGGCTAACTGTCATTCCTGTGTTGTACATTGAGCAAAATGCAGCGGGGAATATAGAGAATATATCAAATTGGACACTTCAATGGTATTGGATTAGCTTCGTCATGTTCCAGTCTTGTCATCTCCCTCCCAGGTAATCGGCTTATGTCAACTTCATCACTGAAAAGCTTGATAGAGGAAATTAGTTTACTAATATGGCTTTAAGAAGTTTGTCAACTCTCATTGTACTGATTCACTGCAATTATATTTTTTTATGTTTCTAAACATTCAACTTATTCTGCTCCTTTTGCTGAATTATTCCTTCAAATCATGAACTGAAGAGAAGATGTAAGAAGGCTTGAATAGTTTTTGTATTGGAAGTGAGTTGCATAATGATAAGAGAAATAAATGGAGTATTTTTGTTTTCTCTCATGCAAGATGCTGCTTAAATCTATTTTGATCAAACCCCCAAGTACATGTATATCTTACATGCTCTTATAAAACCTAGCATTGTATACGACTAACCAAAAGACTTAACTAATTCCAAAATTGGTTGCATAATGAATCCTGGTATGTGAATATCCAAAAGCCATAATCAATAGTAGCTTAACAACATTCGAGTCCAGTGTTGCATTTTCCACTGACACTAGAGAAGAATGGATGTCTTTATGGAAGAAAATGCTATCAATCACCAACATAAAAAGATTATAGAAAGCCATCAGATTGGCTCTGCCTCTGCACCTTCCATATCCTTGGTGTGTGCTAATGCAAAGAAGTAAAAAGAGAAGGGGGAAAAAAATCTTAATATCTGTTTATCTCCCTTCATATTTTAACCCCTGAAAGATTTTTTCTTTACATGCATCAAAACTATGCTATTCAACTGCCTCAAGTTTATTAGCAAGAGTGGGAGAGATCTTTGGAATCTCCCAAGACAATCTCTTTCCTCAATTCTCCTTAGATACATCCAAACTAGTTCATAGCAAAACAACATGTTATATCTGAACTCAAATACTACTTCCATAAGTGGTATTTGATCTCACCTCTCTTTACCAGCACACCAAAGTTCCCTTAATAATGTATATTAAGTGTCAACTCTTTTTTCCTTATAAGAAAAGGAGTGAGAATAGAGAACAGCAGTGATCTGGAAGAGTAAAGTAAACTAAAATATATCCAATTGATTGATTTTAGAGAGGAAAGTACTTTAGATTCCTTGCATCGGATCCCAGATGAAAACAGCAATCCAAATCCATATGTCTTGGTCTTTTTTTAATACCACCAAGCACATACGTCCTACCTCCTTTATTATTAAGACAGATTTGGGATTAAGGCTCTGCCATCATCATTGTCATATTATAAAAAATAAAGGAAATTGAAAAAGAAGAAGTTAAATGCCGTTGAGGTCATGAATGATTCAAAGCACCTATGATGTCAAATTGTCTGCAAATTGCTTTACAAAATATCTCCATGCTGAAGATGAGGGATCGAATATCCCTCATGTCTGTATACTGAGAACCATGTGTTGAACTCAAATTTCTTCTATCAAAGACACAAGATTTTGTCGGTCTTTCATTTGTAACTTTGCTCGCTTTTCGTTTGACATTATTTGCATCTGCAACTTAAATATTTGTGCTTTTACTCTGGTTGTCTTTCTTCTGGATGGTCAGTCCTAATTCCTGTAGTCAGTATTTTTCAATTAATCACTTAGGAGCTTAGTTACACCCCAGGCTGATAAACCCAAGGTTTCATTAATAATATTCTATTCCCATTGGCACAGTGGTCGTCATAACCTTTGACGTTAGGAAAAAGTGACCTGGTCTTATTATTTTGGACAGGCATTGATATTATCCTACAGGCATAATTTCTTTAGAGAAACCAGCTGTCATTATCAACAGTTAGTATTTGGTCAGTTCTGCCCTTTATACGATCCATTCTGTTTGAAACTGCATTAAATCAAAGTCCATTTCTTGGATTTGGAGAAGCTGCAAAATAATATTTTATGATTCCAATATGACATGTAACATTGTCTATGCTTAAATACATATTTGAATCCATTTGAGCTAGTATTTTTGCATAAATTGTGTTCTTTTGCTATCTTGAACTCTATTATATGCATGATTGATTGTAACTTAAATTCTACACTTCACATCATGCTATACGAATTGTGTAATGAACCAAAGGATGTTTTCCTGGATTTGCCAGTTTATACATATTATCATGTCCCAATTGCTTTTATCGTCAGTTTTGTTGTCGGTGCAAAACTATGCAAGTAGTTTCTTGGTTATTGCTCTGTACCCTACAATTTAAGCATGGGTGGTTCCAATAATTGCAATATCTTGATTAAGAAAACATATAAATTTTTTATATATCATTTTCAGTTCTGTAGTAATGTTGTCCTAGTGTCTGTGCTGCACACTAAATTATCTTCTCAGACAAGTGTTTGGTTGTTCAAAGCCTTTGTGTGGATAAGATTATAGGATGATTGGTCACAGTATATAGCTTCAAATGTGTATTTCATGCTCATATAAAAAAACTATATCTTGGAAGAATCCAACTGGCATTACTTCCACCATTACTACGAGAAGTGACATGCATTGATGCATACTTAAGTTAGTTGTAGACTGGTAGTTATTCTTTTATCCTTATTGCAATCAAAATGAGCTACTCAATATAGATGTTTGGTATTTGACGTTAATGAATTCTTGCCTGTGTACTGGGGTCATCTCCATTTTACTTTGGCCTAACATCTAGCCTCTGTGAAAATTTTAAATTTTGCTACAATTGATTGTGGTTGAATTTTAATTCTCAACATCTATTCAAGTTGGAATAAAAGGGTTTTGAAAAATAACTTATTTCTTGCAACTTAAAATTATAATAAACAAATATTTTTTCTTCAATTAATTCTCCAATCTGATCTCGTAATTTTAGTTCACGATAGGATTAGTTTTAGTGACAATGACTTGTGAGTTACCTTCTTATTCATTTAACTGCTATTTGTTTGGTACTCATATACTATCACATTTTTCTGCCAACTAACCATGTGAATGAACCATTTGAAGGACATAGAGATAGATGATAGAGATGCTAAATTCCCTAATTATAGCAATTACTAGTTCAATGAAGAACAAGAGACAACTAAATGTGAAGAATCTAATCCCTCTTTGAGACTCACTCAACCTGTATGTTAAGAAATTGGCATTCATGAATGAGTGACATAAAAGTGCACAAGATTAAATCAAGTCTTGCTGTGACAAACCGTACTCCATAAAATTTTGTTAGCATATTTATTCCATTTCATTTTCTACTCAACCTTGCCTGCCACTGTATGATGTGGTTGCTTTTCAGACTAGTGACCACCAAAAACCACCATATATCTCGTCTACTCTTCAACATCTAACTGTCTCCCAAAGGTAGATAGAAACCAGCAGCCAGCCATGCTCTTTTTATAATGCAAACCACTACCAGATCTACGTTAATTGTGCTGAAACAGTCAGTCATGGAATCCTTACTTGACTGGTTTCTCAATACGACAAACATCCCTATGAGGATTTCCTGGTCCCAATGGTTGCGGCAGAGCAGTTCCATGCGGATTGCGTGTCGTGTTAGGATTTCTAACTTATTGATTAGAAATTTCTAGTGAAGTTCTATTTTCTTAGTCTTAGCAGATGCAAATTACTTTATTGGAAGGTGCTAATTTATATTGTGTTTAGATATCTTAATTATTGTTAGATGTACGATAGCTGTGAATGAACAAAAAGGAGGATAGATAAAGAGGCAATCAAGTTTATGAGATAGCAATGGTGATGAAGAATCTTGCCAAAACATTATCCATTTCTTGGCATGAATTTTAGTAGATTTTACGTGGAGTAATTGGAAATTCTCGAATCAAAATTTAATCTAATGCAGACTTGTGTTATTCTGAAAGCATGTGCTACTGTTTATAATTGTGGAATTGTATTCTTGCCTGCATACACGAGGAATCTGCAGTCAAATTATGAAGTTACTATATGCAGTTTGTATATGTTGAAGTAGAGACTGATGGTTACAAACATTTAGTTATTAAAAACTGAATACCAGCCATTCGTATGGGAGTGTTGAACAGGAGATGGAATTGGAATATACTTGGATCTGTGAAGAGCAAAAGGAATTAGAATAAATCTATAAACTGAATAGGAAAAACTGTGAGTGGTAATCCTTAATTTTAGATATGTTACCATAGTTACCTTTTCTTGTTCTTAAAGGCAGCAAAGGCGATTGGAGTATTTCCTTGACTGTAAGTATTGTTGCACTGTATGCATTTGTATGTATTCATCTCCAGTTTTCCTGTCTACGAATTAAATGGAGCTTTACTTTATAATTTTCGTAGGGTGGATTAATGTTCAATTTTCCAGCAAGGTATGAATTACTCATTTCTTCACTTTGTTAACTTTATACAAGGACCTCTTTTTCTTTGTGAAAGTAGCTGATGCACTGATATTTTCTTTGCTATTCCCAGTCTTTGTTTTAAAGCTTTTGAACCTTTCTTTTCGTAGCTTTTATGGCCACTTCATCATTGTAATTTCATCTTTCTCGCCATAAACGCAAAAAACTCCACCCTTTCCCGAACTTTTCTCCCAAAATTTTCAAAATCCCTTTCGTTTCTGGGTTTTTTTTTTTTTTTTTTTGGGTGACCCCTAGCCTTGATTCATAAGAAACCTCAAAAAGAAAGCAGTTCAGGGCTCTTGCTTGTGAAATTTCATTGTCTCTCTTTTTCCGCCTTTTTTCCTTAATGGGTTATATAAAAAAGAGTGCATGGAATGTGGTGAGAAAAGGAAAGAAGGATGGAGCAGAGAAAGAAATCCAAAAGGAACCTCAACTCAATTAATATTGTTTCTTTATTAGGTTCGTTCCACATCATGTGATTCCTCCATGTTATCTACCATTCCTAACTAACAACAAACAAAAACGTAAATAGAAAAGTAGGATAAATAGAGAAGCGGAATTATTCACACATGATTTGAATTGCGGATGAGCTCTCAATCATAACCTATAAAACACCAAAACTTTAATTATAGAAGGTGATGGCTAATAATGGCACCAATGAATTTTATTATTATTTTTTTACCCCCTCATTTCTCGTGCATTAGCTGCAATCAAGGATCTACAATAACTGTGCACATCAGCATATCTATAGGTCAAAGGTTGGTTGATGGAATGACCTATAAAACATGGTAAAAGCCATTGGGAGTTCATCATTTCCACCATGCTTGCCACCAATTTTCTTCATCAAAAACATCTGGTCCAATATTCTTTTCAAAATCACTCCCCCACAAGGCTCCGTTTGTTTGGTGAAAAATAACTTTCACTAAAAAAATTAATTTGAGAGAAGATTTTTTAAGAAGTTATTTTTCAAGAAAGTATTTTCCGACGTTTGATAATTACATAAAAAAAATTATTAAAAAATATATTTCATCATTTATTTAATACGGAAAACTGAAATACAAAAACAAGTTGTGATTGTTACATCAACGAGTTTTAAGGAAACTTCAACAAGACATATTTACAATTTCACAATATAAAATGCATTTAAAAAAATGTAATAAATTTTTAAAAATACTGACTCTAAGATTTAAAATAAAAAAATAAAATGTACATTTTTAACCGTCAAACCAATTCATTAAAAATATTTGAGACAAAATCAAGTTAATATTCATATTTAGTAAAAAAAAAATTCTAAGTAATTCTAGCATTGTTATTTTGGTAACTCAATTAAGAAATTTTTTTTTTTTTTGAAAATTGAACCGATAATTTAGCCTAAAAAATAGTTTTACAAATTATTAATTATCATTTATAGATAATCATTCATTTGGTTTTAAAAGATTAATGTTGGAATAATTTGTAACTACAACTACCAACAAAATTTTACAACTGATTAAAATTAATCACGAATTATTGATTTAATTGCAAATAAATAGTGTTGAGAAAACAATATATTTATTAATGAATTAATTAGTTTTAAATTTTTCACAAATGATTCAATCTTGTAATAATATTTTCAATCATTTAAGTATAGTTTAGGTGGAGTTTGGAATAATAATTAAAAAAATAGAGATAAATTATTGAAATATTTATTATAAAAATAATTTTAAGGGGTAAAAATGATTTTTAAGAATATTTAATAGATTTATAGATCGAAAAATCAAATGTTAGTAGAAATAGAGAAAAATAATTAAATAATTGATAATAATTGATAAGAAATTATTAAAAATTAATTTGATATATTTTAAATAAGAAAAAATTGTTAAAATATATCGAGAGATAGATAAGTAACGCGAGAGCGAGACACTTCGTGAGAGAGAAGAAAATGTTTTTCTTTTTTAAACTAAAAAAACACATTCGCAAAAATATTCTATCATTTTTTATTAATTTTTTTTAAATGCGAAACAAACATCAAAAAAAAAAAACTTATTTTCCCTCGAATAAACACAGCATATTTTCCTACAATTCTTAAAAATTATGAGCATTGCTCTAAAAACAAACAAACAAAAACATGCTAAAATCCCTGTCAAAAAAGAAAGAAGATAAAAACAAACAGTGATATCTGCTGGTCAAACACCAAAATTATTTACTGTGTGAAACTGAAAATTGTAAAGCAGTAAGTAATGAATGTGATTCACCGAAGTTGTTGTGGTTACTTTTGGCTTTAGACGATATGCTTGCTTCCTCGGCCCACAGCTAAAAGTTATAGTGCACAAGTCGGTCATCAGTCATCCTTCCAGCCAATCAGCTTTCCTGGGACCCCACTTTCTTAATTGCAAATCTTCAAGCTCTTCTTCATTTCGCTGTGGAAATTGCCAAAGTGGTCCTTCCTAAGGCAAAAGTCATTTCTTTCTGGTAACATAATAAGTGTGCCTTTTTTGTTCTTTAATTCTTGTTTTCTAACACTAATTACCTTTTCCTTTCATGTATTCTTACCAGAAACTAGTATACTTTATATATTATAGATTAATTTCGTAAATAAAATTTTTTATTTAACATATATATATATTGTTGATTTTTTTTTTCTTGAAGATATAAAGTCGGAAGTGTTTTCCATAAAAGTCTAAAACCATAGGGTAAATAAATGGAGTTTTTGGAGTCAAATTCATTAATTGTTGTCCCAAGCCTGCTTATAAATGATGTAAAGACACAAGAATACGTACATTATTACTATATTATTTATTGTTTGTACTAATAAACGGGGAGGAACCGGATCTAACAACAACCAAGCCCTTTCACAGTTTCCCTCCTTAAACCTGACTGGCTGGCTCCTACGGTTTGACTTTAGCTGGTCATTCTAAGCTGCTTCTTCTAACATGGCTCGGCTAGTTCCACCCTCCTGCTGCTGCTGTTCTGTTCTTGCTCCTATTCCTGTGCGAACAAAAAGAGAAAGGGACAAACAAGAAAAGAAAGGATTATTTATTTTTTTCTTTTTTGGTAGACAAAGAAAGGTTAATTTAATGAAGAGAGAAATATAAAGTAACAGATGCACCCAACGCATTTATGTTGTTGAAAAATTATGATAACAATTAATTTTAATCGTTTTTAAATAATAGTATAAATGATTTTTTTTTTAAAGCTTATCATTGGCCTTACTCTCTAGGTCTCCACTTATTTATTTCTGTTCGTTTTATTCCTTAATAATGATGGGAACTGTATGTAAATTTAATTCTCTTCTAAAGCTTATGAAATATCTTGTTCAAAAATATTACAAATTAAATAAATAAACGAATTGAAAATAATAACATTAAAATAGAAAATTATTAAACGTTTGTTTTTTTTTTGGTAAAACTTCAATGGGTTAAGTTTTTCAAATAATACCAATTTTAATTCTCATTCATTAGCCTTATCTTCATTTTTTAAAAGCAATAAATGAATAAATTTTGGTAGCTAAAACGCATTCAATATGTCCTTTTTATTTATGATGGTTTCTAATATATCTTTTTAATCAAAATTTTTGGCCAATTTATCAAAAATTAATTTTCGTACTAGTAGATACAGATCATTTGTGTCAAATAACAAAAATAATTTTATCAACAACCGACATACCATGTGCAATCACATGCTTAATTCATGATAAACTTGTCGAAAATTATAACTAAAAAAAATACTAAGAATCAGTTCAAAAACTAATAACAGATTGAAGACGTTTTAAAATATAAAAAACATATAAAAAAATTGATCTATTATACAAAGATAAATAAGATTATTAATCTTTTTTACTAACGTAAAACCTATATTGTAGTATAGATACAGTAAAAAGTTCAAAACATAAAATTCAGAGTCTGTTTGGCAAATAGTGCTTTAGGCCATTTTAAATCTTTTGCACCAAAAATCAATAAAAATGCTTTTGGCAGCATTTGAAACATGTTTAGAAGCTGAAAGTGAAAGGTTATAAAATGAAGTTTTCATACTTTTGAATACATTATAATATGAAAACATTTTAACAAAATGTATTATAAAAAAAAAAAAATTATATTCACAAAACAACTACCATTACAAGAAAAACTACGACTATATGAAATGGACACATGTCTATCAAAATTGGTATATTGGACCAACAATTTCCTATTTTAAATAAAGTTTAAAGAACAAAATACTAACAATTACAAGAAAAACCACAACTATATGAAATTGACACATATCTATGAAAAATGAATATTGGACCATAAATTTCTTATTTAAAATAAAGTTTAAAGAGCAAATTACTAACAATTACAAAATGATAAATCAATGAACCAATTTTTAAAGAAAACTTGTAAAAAAAAAAAGGCATCATTTTGAGTTTAAATTCAGAATGGAGATTAAAACAAATAAAAACAGTGCACGTATTCAATGTTTTTTATATTAAAAAATTGGCGTATCGTTCCGCAAGCAATTACCGAAATTGTAAATCTCAATGATGCATTAAATTCTAATCATTATATTAAATACTACTCTCAGTCTCTCTCTCTCCGGGAGAGATTGTCTTTCTTTCTACTTATATTTGTTCCAAAATAATTGTATTGTCAAAATTTTAAATATTGTGTTTTCTTAAAGTACCCCAATCAATTCTTTCTTCTATATATTTCTCATTTTTTTACTAACTGAAAAATCAATATTCTTTACACTTTTCTTTTACAAATAAAAATGTTTTTAGCATAAAAAAATTCAAAAGTAAAGTTTTTATTACATGAACACTATTCATTATATGAAAATTTAGGATTTCTTAATGATCTCTAGAACTTAAATTTGGGAGAGACGAAAATTTTGATTTGACATCTTGATTTTGAGACTAATTTTTTGGCATAAAATTTCCTGAAAATTTAGAAAGGCTTAATGATCTCTAAATCTTTTAAAAATTTTCCAACTTAAACGAGAGAGAAGAAAATCTTGATTTTACGTTTTGATTGTGGAACTACTTTTTCGGCTAAAAATTTTATGGAAAATTTAGGATTTGTTAATGATTTTTAGATATTTTTAAAAGTTTTTCAACTTAAATTTAGAAAAAACGAATATCTTAATTCACGTCTTGATTTTAGGAGAGTTTAATGATCTCTGTATCTTTTTAAAAATTTTAGAACTCATATTTATTAGGATGAAAGGGTATTTTAGAAAAATAAGGATTAAAAACATTGACGTGTCATAACAACTAATATTTTTCTTAAATTGTGTGGAAAGTTAAAGAGGACTAATACTTTAGGATATAAAAAATTCCTAACAAATGTTATTGGTCTTGGACACTCCTTATCCAAAGTAATTGCTAATCACTAATCTCTTTATCAAAGAGAATTTTAATTTCACATTATTGAAAATCGATTATAACAAGGGTAATTAAGTTACATTATCAGGCAAAGTGATTAGGAAAGCAAAAGTTTTTTTTTTTTTTGCTGAAAATGATAACATCATTAAATAGGCTTGATTTTGAGAAAGAATAATTTTTTTTTCGAATATCTAGAATAATTCAGATTTGAAATTTTAGATTAATCTTTTAATATTTGATCGGATCCATAAAATAGATACAATCACTCAGAACCAAAATACTTGTTTAATTAATCGACTAGATTCACATCTGATCAAACCAACTCCTATAGATTAGTGGAAATTAATTAATTACCAGTAGTAGTAGCTTAGGTCTAAGCCAGCAAGCTGAAAGCCAGTTAAGTGGAAACTGAAAATACCGTTGGATTGCGTAGATTCAACTGCTTAAAGTTTGTTGGATGCTCACATATTCCACTCAAAAGAATATCTAACAGTCAACTCCTACCAGCCTTTTCTCTCTTTACAACATCACCTCCTTCAGAATACATTTTGTTTTTATATCCTTAAATCAACAAGCCCCACTTCTCTCTCTCTCTCTCCCCAAGCCAGCAGTTGTACTGTGTTGCCTTGGCTAGCTAGCTCCTTAAAACTACCATTTCATCGTCAAATGAGGAACAGCCTCTTTCAGACTGGCCATGGGCGTCGACATGTCTAATCCACCCAATTCTCATATCAAAGACTTCTTTGCTTCTCCTGCTCTTTCTCTTAGTCTCGTAATTTCTCTTCAACCACTACTGCACTTCTTTTTCAATATTTTCTCTTAATTAATTTTTCTCGTTTTATTCATGTATACAAACACATCTTTTTTCTTTCTTTCTTTCCTATATCACTTTCTGGGTTTTTTTTTTCCCTGTCTTTTTGAGCTTTTCAGGCTGCCATCTTCAAATCCCACCAATATTTTTACCCCATCCAGTTTGCTGTGCATATATATTTAAATTTTTTTTTTTGTATGAAAGGAAATTTTCGTATTTGATTGATCGATGTGTGTATATTAATTTCATAAATAAAATCACTCATGCATAATAACTATATATACGCATGCATGATGTGCATCTGAAGTCCAAGCACCCTTTTCACATACCTACTCCATTTCCCTAATGTTTTTACTTACTGTTGAAGGCTGGAATATTCCGGGGCGCAAATGTGGGCACTGCAGCAGCGGCGGCAAGCGTGGAGGTGGAGGTGGAGGAGGGGGACGAAGGGAGTGGAGGAGGGAGAAGAGAAGAAACGGTGGAAGTTAGTAGTGAGAACTCAGGGCTTGTGAGATCAAGATCAGATGATGATTTTGAAGGTGAAGGAGAACATGATCATGAGGATGATAATGATGGTGATGACAAACACAAGAAGAAAAAAGAAAGAAATACCATAGACACACCGCTGAGCAAATCAGAGAAATGGAAGCGTATGTATTTTCATCTCTCTCCCGTTTACTACTAGCTAGACTAGGCTAGATTAATTAATTTTCTTTAATTTAAAACACATGCAGGTATGTACGCATATCAGTGTTCTTAATTATGAGTTTAATTATCTATTTACTAATCCTTATGTATATTGCTATATATCGACCCTTTTTTTCCTTTCCCTTTTTGGATATGTAGTATATATTCAAATGAACAACAAAACAAATTAAGGCGTTTTGGTTATTTGGAAATAATCTATAGGTGCAATTTTTTTTAGGTATATATATATATATGTGGCTAAATACACAAGTGCATATACATGATTTGCTTATTATAAACTAATTTAGTTAAATTGCATGCTAATTAACAGCTTAATTTGAAGTAAACATTATTTAGGATCCTAAAAATCTTACTGAATAATTAAATATTGCATATAATTTAGAGTTCGTATGCATCTAGCTCGAGTAATTTATTCTATACGATGCTGCAACGGGTGTGCTCGCAAAGATTAAGAAAAAGTTAATCAATGACATGGCTACAAAAGAAAACACAGAACTATAGATAAAGCTAAAAGATGAGTCAAAAATTTGGTGGAAAAGTTTCTTTTTCCTTTGTTTTACATTCAACAATATTGCTTGTCATCGTCGAAAAAGAATTAAAAGGATTTCTTTTCGGTTCTTGACAAATGCACATGCATCTTTGCTTATGTTATGTATCTAAGAGTACGATTGTGTTATTGATCATTCATGAGTGTTCAACTTAATAAATTATGAAAATTAATGGTTAATCTTCAGGCTATTTAAGGAGTCTCCTCATCCAGATGAGAAGCAAAGGCAGCAATTAAGCAAGCAACTAGGCCTTGCTCCTAGACAAGTCAAGTTTTGGTTCCAAAATCGCCGTACGCAAATCAAGGTACGTAGGTGATTATCATATATATGTGTATATGTAGAAGAGATCAAAACTCACTTAAATACAGTTAGTAATGATCATGTTGATTTGATTAATAACCATGGCAGTGATTAATTATATTGCAGGCTATACAAGAGCGCCATGAAAATTCTCTACTGAAATCTGAAATGGATAAACTCCGAGATGAAAACAAGAGCATGAGGGAGGCCATCAACAGAGCTTGCTGCCCAAATTGTGGCACCGCTACCACGAGTAGAGACTCTTCCTTAACAACCGATCAGGAGAAACAATTACGTATCGAAAATGCAAAACTCAAAGCCGAGGTTAGAAATACGGAAATGTAAACTGTTTTTCCTAATGCAAACTAATCGCATGCATGATTAGAAGAAGCTTGATGGCGATCATGTCATGATATTGTAGGTAGAAAAACTTCGAACAGTGGTGGGAAAGTTTAGTCCAGGTGCAACAGCCTCATGCTCAGCTGGAAATGAGCAAGAGATTAGCAGAAGTTCACTAGATTTTTACACTGGAATTTTCGGACTCGACAAGGCTAGAATCCTGGAGACTGCTAATCAAGCAATGGAAGAGCTCAAGAAAATGGCTACAGCAGGCGAACCACTTTGGATTCGAAGTGTTGAGACAGGTCGTGAAATTCTCAACTACGATGAGTACACGAAAGAGTTTGGTTCTGAAAATTCAAGCATTAATGGAAGGCCAAAGAGATCCATCGAGGCTTCAAGAGAGACCGGGGTTGTGTTTGTGGATCTGCCAAGGCTAGTCCAAAGTTTTATGGATGTGGTGAGATACATATATATATATCATAATTAGTTTAATTATTAGCAACATGATCATCAATTCCACATCTCATTAATTAATTATATATTAGTTCCCTTTAATTAAGAACTAATTAATTAATGTACTGCAATCTTATCTTTTTCTTTTTCCCTTCTACCAGAATCAGTGGAAGGAAATGTTTCCATGCTTAATTTCAAAGGCAGCCACTGTTGATGTTATGTGCAATGGTGAAGGTGCAAGTAGAGATGGCGCGGTGCAATTGGTGAGTTACAGCTCTAATTACCAAGCTTAATTTTACTATTACTTGAATGAAACTACAATTTTCTGCATGGGAAATCAGCATCAATTTCAGTGAACATAAAAAGTAAAAACCATACATGGTTGTTTAACCAAAAACAATTGTAGGTTTTTTTTTTTGTTAAATGCAACGTGCAAAAGATAAATATGTTGAAAGAGATGTGGATTAAATTCGAATTAAATAGTTATGATTTAGTTAGAATAAAAATAAAAAGGAAATTAATTTTTTTGATATTTTATTTCACTAGGTAGGTAGTGATGTTCCTTCAATATGGAGTGGGGATCAGAAAACTAATGACTGTTCTGTCGTTGTATATCAATAATAGCCTCGCTGTCACGGAAAATGAGGTTTTTTTAAATTTATAGTGTGGGACCCTGCGTTCAATTGAGATCTACTTTTTCATGAACAGCTGGCTCAGCTGAAGGTCAAAATCTTGGACAGTTTGATTACTTACAGTTGGAGCCTTGGACGTGACTTGATAATCCAAAAACTGTACTAGATGATGCCAAAACTCGAATGTGCATGCCTAAACAAAATTAAAATGCCTAAAACACTTTTTATTTATTTATCTTTATGAAAGAAATGAAGTGATTAAGTAGGGTTGTTGAGGCCTGTAGAAGCATTAATTTCCTGGCATTATTAGTAAAATCCTTTGAATCCTGTACTTGGAAGCATTCATTGGTTACCTTAATCTGCCAACTTCCATCACCCAATCCGTACTAAATTTAAATCGACTACTCTTGCCTGCTCAATCCTCGATTTTTGCAAATCTTGCAAAAGCTGACTCATGCATCGCTTATTTGACGACTGAAACGGAGCATCCAATAAAAAAACATAATGGTTTGACGCAGATGTTTGCTGAGGCCCAAATGCTAACGCCCATGGTGCCCACCAGAGAAGTTTATTTTGTCAGATATTGCAAGCAACTTAACGCAGAGCAATGGGCCATCGTTGATGTTTCTATTGATAAAGTTGAAGACAATATTGATGCTTCCCTCGTCAAATGCAGAAAACGCCCCTCTGGTTGCATCATCGAGGATAAATCAAATGGCCATTGTAAGGTAGGAGACAGTGTACTAACAAATTAACTTCGTTTCTATTTTTTTATTTTTTTTAACTGCCCACAAATGCTCTGCATATTTTGTTTATCTTTTACTTTAAAATTATTCTAATTAAAATTAATCATGTTTCAGATTATTCAAATCAAACAAAGCATCTGGGTTTTGATTTGAACATGCTTTATTTTCAATTTTAAAAACAAAAATGGAGATAAGAGAAACTGATGAGGAAAGGAAGGAAAAAAACGGAGAGAAGCATATATAATAATGCTATATCATCCTCGTTTGTTTTTTAGCAATTTAACATAGACGAGTTGATGACAATCTTTTCAGGTGATCTGGGTGGAACATATGGAATGCCAGAAGAGCACAGTTCATACCATGTACCGGACATTTGTTCATAGCGGTCTAGCATTTGGTGCAAGGCACTGGATGGCAACATTGCAACTCCAATGTGAACGGCTTGTTTTCTTCATGGCAACCAACGTTCCCACTAAGGATTCAACTGGTAAGCCAAACTATGTTGTCATATTTTATAGTGGTATTGTTTGCTATCTATGTAGATAACATATTTTTATGGGAAAAAAATGTAAAAATCCAGGTGTTGCTACTCTTGCTGGAAGGAAAAGCATACTGAAACTGGCACAAAGAATGACATGGAGCTTTTGTCGAGCAATCGGAGCATCAAGCTATCACACATGGAACAAGGTCCCAAGCAAAACAGGAGAAGACATAAGGATTTCCTCTAGGAAAAACTTAAATGACCGTGGTGAACCTCTTGGAGTGATATTGTGTGCAGTTTCTTCTGTGTGGTTGCCTGTCGCTCCTCATGTTCTGTTTGATTTCTTAAGAGACGAAGCTCGTAGAGATGAGGTACAGCAAAAAATGGCATTACTCAGTTAAATTCCTATCAAAATGGGATATTGCCGCTTTGAATTGCGCAACATATGAGTTCAAGTTTTGTCAGATAACTTGTCAGACATTTTTTTTTTTTTGCATAAAATGTAGTGGGATATCGTGTCAAATGGAGGACCTGTTCAAGCCATTGCTAACTTAGCCAAAGGACAAGATAGAGGCAATGCAGTAACTATTCTGGTAAGTTGTTTTCCATCTCAAATGAGAAGAGACCACACGATTAATCTAATGCGCTTTCTCTGTTCATGGTTCTAACTAGCATTTTCCAATTGCAGAATATGAAATCAAAAGAGAACAGTATGTGGGTACTCCAAGATAGCTGCACAAATGCTTACGAATCCATGGTAATGTATGCTCCAGTGGACACTAATGGAATGCAATCTGTGATAACTGGATGTGATTCAAGCAACCTAGCAATATTACCTTCAGGATTCTCGATTCTTCCAGACGGCCACGAATCAAGGGCGTTAGTGATCACTTCTAGGCAAGAGGAGAAGAGCACAGAAGGGGGGTCTTTGCTAACAATAGCATTCCAAATCCTTACGAATACCTCTCCCACAGCCAAACTAACCATGGAATCTGTGGATTCTGTTAGCACACTTATATCATGCACATTGAAAAATATCAAGACAAGCTTGCAATGTGAAGATAGTTGATTACATTACCTTAGTAGTTAGATAGACACAAATTAACTGTAAAAGTCATAGGTTTCTAGTTTTCTTTTCCCTGTCCCTCCAAATTTTATATCTTAAGAAGAGGGATATATTTATGTGAGTTTGTATGTTATTTGTTTGTGTTTAGCACTTTTAAGTTAAGGGCTTGAAGTTTGGGAAAATCTTTTATGGTCATTCTGTAGAATGAGACAGGGATGTGATTTATATTTTTTACAACTCTCTTCAATTCTAAGAGTGAAAGTATCATGATGTATAGATTTAACACTTGCTGCTGCATTTTTGCAGTTGTTTTTAAATGCTATTTCATTAAATTATTCTATTTGAAGTGATTCAAGCAATCACAGAACGTCAATTCAGAATGGTTATGGCAGAACTTAAGCTACTTGTATACAATATGTAGCTCTAGTGAAAAACTCGATATAAAGACATTATTGCATATCAACCCCAAATTTAAATCACTATGAGCATGGTCATAAACCACCTTCTTCATCTCCCTACTGCATCAAGATCACACATCAGATTTCACATGATTTAGAAAGAAACCTGCAACTAGTCCATGGCCACAAAAATTATTTTCTCTTGCTCATATGTAACATTTTCGTCATTCACATTTAACTCTTCAAACTTAAAATTTTCTGGTACTGTCTCGTCCAACTCCCAAGAGGTTTGGGTTGAAGCTTGGTTGTTGTTGATGTTGTATTGTCTGGTCTAACTCTCATCAATAAAACCTCCACTTATGTCAAACCCATTTAAGTACACTCACACTCGTCACTGAAGCCAGTAAAGCAACCATAATTATTAACCTAAGGAATAACCAACCAACAAAATCCGTAAAAGAAATCATAAGAAGCCCTAGATTTCAAGCATATCTAACATAAAACATTCATACCCGTCAGTATGATCCAAACACCACCATTTAAGTTAGCGATGGAAACTCAGCAGCATACCAACTAGATCTTCACAAAAGCTGCTGCTTCTTGGGCCCAAAGGAATTAGCAGACACGAAAATCTTGGCTTAACAGGATCTCGGAAAAATATTGATCAAAGTCACCCAAATCACCAAAGAAATGGCATCACTTTAACGCATTCCATAGAACCTACAACTAAGTTCAGTTCTCCATTTCATACCCATCAGTAACCCCATCAACATAAAAGCAATTGCCGCACACTAAGATAAGTTCACTGAATACCAATTACCAAAATCTATCAAACCAATGACATCAACCCCACCCAAAATGCACCAACTCATTGAAATCTTAGTAACTTGCATTTATCTCTCGGAAGAAACACAAAGCCTGTTCATCTATTATACAACACTAAAATATCAAGTTCTCAAAATCACAAACGAGCAAGAGGGTTTCACTCTAAGAAATTGCTCCCGCTGAAACTCCAACAGAAATCCCAAGCTCTTTTGGGCACCCCATTACCAGCACACTTTAACCTTTTCTTTTCCCTTTCCTTAATCTTCTTGACCAGAACCAGCACTGTTTTGAATCTCTCAGCAATTAACCATCTGCTAATTCCAAAAAATATGGACAAATCAAACCTAACAGAATCCAATCCAATCATGTCTACGCCAATCACTGAAACAATCCAAGAAATAACTCTAGAAATTAAGTTCACCAACATAAAATGACAAACTTCATTCTTTAACAATCGAATACCTAAATTGAAATATCACCATAAAACCAAGACACCAATATGGATTTGAAAATCACTAACCAACAACAAAACAATATAGTATCAACCGAAGAAAGGAATCCAACGCTCCTTTAAGCGCCTTCTCTTCCACTGAAATACCAATCACCGAGTCCCAGCAGATGCAGTGTACTAATTTTTAAGGGGGAAAAAAAGCCATGCCCAATTAAATTGATGCTGAAATTGAAAAATTGATATCAAACAACCCCAATTTCACAGCCATTAAATTACACTAAAATCAAAACATCATCACAGTACTAAACACCAAATTACATCCCAAAAATTCACAAAAAGAAGAGCAATTATTACAAAACAACAGAAAACTCACACATTAAGCCTGCTGTTCCTGTTGAGACTCCAATGGAATTCCAAGCTGTTGAGACACCACTCCTCCCTCGTCACCATCTTTCTTCTCCTTCTTCTTCCTGGCCGGTACAGGCACAGCAATAAAACTCTTAGTCTTGCTAATGGGTCTGCTCTCTTGAAGCTGGACAAGGTCTCCAAGTTTAAACTGATTCTCAGGGTCATGAGCCTGGTACTTCTTCTTCTTCCTGACCCTTCTCTTGTACTTAGGATGTGGGGCCAACCTTGTAACCTCAACAGCCACAGTCTTGTCACTTGTTGCGCAAACAACCCTGCCTTGCATTGACTTCATGGCCCTGATTGGAGGGAGGAAAGTGAAGGGCTTTGTGGGCAGGAGAGAGAGAGGAGAATTGGGTTTTGATAAGTGAGAGAGTTGGGTTGTTCCATGGAGGAATGGAGTGGAGAGAGTGAGAGAGTTGAGTGAGGATGAGAGGGACATTGTTAGTAGCATTGTGCTGTCTTCTTGAGTTTTTGGAGATAAGAAGCGGAGGAAGGGGACGGGGGGCGTTTTCTACGGTTGCTTTTTATCCTTGTGGATTGGGTGTTTGTTTCTGTGGGATGTTGAAGCTGCAGGGTTAAATGGTCTTTTCATTTGTTTCGTGAAAAAAAAAAAGAAAAAAAGAAAAAAGAAAAAAGAAAAAAACAGAATTATACAAATTAAATTGATTGCTATAGCAAACTCACGTGCTAATTAATTTGATTATGTTCTTGTATTTTAGATGTGCCTTGAATTTCTGAAATTTTATTCTTGAATTTGATGAGAAATTATTGTAATGATGATTTATATAAGTAGTTGTATATTTGTGCTTTAAACGCAGAATAATTTTGTTGTTTTTTCTACGTTTTTTTAAATATATTTGGTAAAAATAATAATATTTATTATATGATTATACAGAGAATATAAAAACGTCATATGACATGTCCTTTCAATTTAAACATTAGATGCCTGTGAAAGAACACACTTTTTTTCTAATTTAAAAGTGAATTTATATTTACGATGGACTATTATTGCACATCCTTGCAAAAAAAAAAAAAAAAAGGTCTTCTTAGTTGCGCTATTTGAATTGAATGAGTACGTGAACAATATCTCTTTACAATTTCAAGAGAAATTTTATAATACATAAAAGTAATTAGTGACATGTACGGTAGTTATTCCTCGAATCTATTTTGAAGAGAGAGATAGACACACAAAAAGAGAAAGAGATAAATAGAAGAGAGAAAATAAAAAAATTTGAACGGACGTGGAAATCTTCTTATCAATTTTGGTGAGTATGGATGTAATTTCTCTCTTTTTTATGTGTTTATCTCTCTCATCAAAGTGGATCCAAGGAGTAACTATTGTACATGCTACTAGTTACTTCTTGTGTATTATAAAATTTTTCTAATTTCAATTTATTTTTTATATATTATTTTTTTATGAATTTTACTACTCAAAAATCTATTAAGGTATTTTAATGGAAAATAAATCAAAATTCAAAATGCATTTTAAATGATGTGGATTTTGAAGCTATAATCAACAAATGATGTCTCGCAGACCTATCCTCCCTATAGACCTCGCGAAAGTTTATGAGATTGAGCTTACCTAGATTTATAGAGTCTTAACTTTCTTATGTCAATTGATTTAATTTAATTACTTTCTTTCTTTTTCGTATTTTTCTTTTAATTTAGGATACAAAATTCATTTTTTAATTTTTTATTCCGTTATTCATTTTTTTCTATCTTTTTTTCCTAATTTTAAAGATGTTTCGAATATTAAAATACAAATTAAATAGAAAAAATAGGGTCAAGACAGATCAAATGAAATGTGTCGGATTATTAGCATGACTAATGTTACTCACCATCTACATTAGTTATAAAACATATTGGTCAAATATATAGAAGGATTCAATCAACTACTAAATTACTAGAAATATCTATACGTTTAAATAATTTCTTGTAATTGAAAGACAAGTACGGATCGCTATTTCTATATGCTTCTACTATATATCCAGTTTTATTTGATTTTAGTTAATAAAATTATCTATTATTTTAAAAAACAAATACAAAACAAAAAATGTCCCATCGTATCAAATATTATTTCATTTAAGATAGGGAGAGGGTTATAAAGTTTAAGCATCGCAAACGTTGTTAATTAACATCCCATTAAAAAATTTTCTCAACCCCACAAATAATCATCACTTTTCATTAAAATTATGCTCTTTTTTTTCAGCAATAAGGGTTGGGTCGGCTTTCATGCATTTTGAGATTAATTCCTCTTTGTTCAATGCATGATTTTACATAATTTTAAATATTTTGAGAATAAACTATCGTAACTATTAGCCATCGACTTCGAATTTTATTGAAATTTATATATTATACGTATAGGTATCAGTAGATAGCATGATTATTTATGTAAAATTGTGTCATCTTAACAAAAGAGATCCGTCCTTTTAATATTAATATCAAATAAAGCTTCCACTAATTTCCGAGCAACCGATTTATATTTATATTGTAGTTGAGGTAATTATAACAATAAACGCTATACCATCCTTTCGACAAACAAACTCGTGATGCTAGATCCGAGAGTAATATTTATATGAACTATAAACATCGAGAATTATAAATATTTAGAGTGTCCGTATACATTAAATTAATTTACATTTGATTTAGAATTTATTATGTTTCCTATATTAGGTATCAACTTGAACTTTATATGTTTTATCAACTATTGGGATGAGTTTTATAACATATTGATACTCGTATTACTCTTAAAGTTTTACGTGATACTTATATGATATCTTTTTTTTTTTTTTTTTGAGACATACCTAACATTTGGTATCAAGCTTTGATATGAGTTTTTATATTTTCTACTATTGATATTTAGCTTTAACATATGAGCTTATTTATATTTTCTCTCAATATGATTGATAAGCTTATATCAAGGAGGATTTGGTAAGTTGTTTATGATTTCAATTTGGAATCAAGCATATTGGATTGCTTAATATTTTTGTGCTTTTATTTTCCTCTTTAACGTTATTTGCTATTATCTTTTTGATAGATGTCGAAAGCAGGAGAGATTTATATTGATGCATGTTTTGTTATGTTTGTTATCTTTGTACTTGACTTTGCAATCACTGTCTTGTCATCATCGAAAGGAGAAGATTGTTAGCACAATCATTGTAATTTAGATGATAACGTAACACTTGGTATTACTAATATTGTACTTTGAGAGTGTTGTGATGTTAACAATTATTATTCAAACATATAAAATGAATAAGTTTGTTAATTAATAAAATTGTATTACAAAATAATGAATGTTCATGACCATTTCACATTTTTGTTATTCATGTGATTTAATTCACTATTTAATATTAGAAATTAAAAAAAATGGTACAATTGATTTAATTATTTATGCATCTTTTAATGATTTATGATCCCTTCTAATTCTTTTCTTAATATTGAAACCTATAAATATGCTTGATTGTTCATTAGTTTGAGTAGATGTGTTTTGTAGAGATAGATAATTATCTAGAGTTCTTATCAACTATATACTTTATTTTATGATGAAATCATTTTTTTATCATTTTTCTTTTCAATTTTATTATTGTTATCATTTCTTTTATAACAAAATGAATTAATTCAAGTTTTGTGACACCGAAGTATATGGACTCAAGACTTGTTTTATAATTGGGGTCCGATTGCACAAAATTCATGAAGAAATGAAGTAAGAAAAATCACATGAACAAAGGCAAAACCAAATTAGTAAAGCTCTAGGATCCGTCGACCTATTATGCCTCTACAAATAATCGGCCAAGTATAAGACTTATAGGTTAAGTTGGCCCGTAATCAACCAAGTCGAAGCTCCAAGATTGGCCAAATTGAATTTGTGCAGAATCTAACTCGTTTTGATAGATTTTGTGCAACATTTACTTTTAATTTGAGAGGGATTCTTTCTAAATGGATATTCATTCATAAATAATTTGATTAGTTGATCACAAATCAAAACATACTACCCAAATACTAAGATGCAATCATATTTGAATGACAAAAAGGGTTTTTAAAATGGATATTCTCTCAGTGTTATTCAAGAATCAATTAAGAAGCTTGGTTGTTCTGAAAGTGAAGAGTTCGAACAAAATGAAATGTTTTTTTTGAATGAGACAAGCTCAAAGTGTGATTGTTTGCCTCAAAAGTCAAAACATTGCATTGCCTTGTCTTTTTTCTTGTCATGAAAACTTACTATTTGATGTCATAAATAATGATATGTAACATGTAAATAGATCAAATTTTTGCTTTCATTTTTTTTGGCTTTGATAATAAAAGTCATCAACCTAAATAATTATTTTTTTTAATCAAAAAAGCTTTTAAAAGCACATAACGTAAGCTTGTTTTGAGATTTTGAATAAAAGAATATAAATGCTTAAAATGTGTTTAAGGACTTGAAAAACTAATGACCACTTAAATAGTCATAAAAAGTTCCTCCTTAACTTTATCACTCTAATTGACGATGTTGCTTCCAACAATCTCTATTCCTTTTTGTTCTTGTTCCGTTGCCGACTTCAATCTTTGTTTAGAATAATGGTTTTGATGGATTCATGATTGTTTTTATTTTTTATACTTTTATTTTGTTTTGGTTATTTTAGAGACAAACCCGATGAATTCATGATGATCTTGATTTTGATTACTATTGTCAATAAATTTCATCGATTTTTCTTTTTCAATTTCTTCAATATGAAGTACTGTTTATTTTTATATTTCAAGTACCTTTTTTCTCTAAAATAGATATGGTTCTAGTATGAGGTTATCATCTCAATAAATTATCAAAGCTCAAGAGTAAATCACAATAATTTTTTGTGAATATTTGAAAGAGATGCCAAACATGGCTTTTTCTTGTCTCGAAATCAATTCATTCAAGTTGAAAAACTCTAGTTCCTTTAAAAATTGTATGTTTTGAAAACCAAATAGAAGAATCGAAAAAATTGAGTTTATGATATCTTTGTATGTCTTTTTATCATCATTTAGAACATTAAATCCTTTCTTTCATCAATATTGTTATTTTAGGCAAAACTTTTCTTCAAAAAAAAAAAAAAAAAAGAAGTTGTTTGAAGTAAAACGGTTAAATTTTGAGTTTTGAAAAAATAATAATTGTCCCCTAGCATGTACGTGAGAGCGGTTGCGGCATCATGAGCGACTCGATTTAACAACAATGGCTTCGTCATGGCCATCCGATCTTGTTGGTAGGGCGCAATGCCAACAAAGGATGGCTGAATGGCGAACGAGGGCATTTGTCTTTCCTGCCTTTGTTTTGCCTGTTTTTGCCTTGTGTGTTTTCTTTTCCTTGGCTTTTAGGGTTTTTGGTTATGTGTCAGAGGAAGTGCTGGAGTAGTGTGTATTTATTTGTGCACCTAAAATCGGTTTAAAATTTTTTCTATTTTTTTAGATTTAAAGTTTTTCGTATTCTGATTTTTTATATTTTTTAGGATATGGCCTGAACAACCAAGCTTAATTTCTGGCGCGCCTGAAGTGGTCTAGCCCCGCCCCCTCTTTTTTTTTTTTTTGTGATTTTACAAAAATAAAGTAAAGATACACACAGTGAAAGAACTCAAAGCTACCGAAGCATTTATATGTAATCATTCTCCCAGGAACAAAGGCACTTTAAAATTCATTAATACAATTTGTAAGAATATGCTACAGTCTATTAGCTATTGTTTTTGTGACAATGTTCATAGCTACGATAAAAATGGGTTAAAAAATCTATTAAAGATTGATCAGGGCCTTCAGACCAATACTAGTAAAGCTTCCATTGCCTGCCAATTTAATGGAATAGAGAGATCATAAAATGGATAGGCTTATCCAGCTCGAATCCACTTGGCAACACATAGATGACTCTCCATATCTCTCGGGAAAACCCATTGTGCCACGTGACCAGCTAAGATCCATGCAAAAGATCAAAAACCCAACTCTCTTGCAACCTGGAACAGAAACTCGTTAGTTGGGACTTGGGAACCAAAATCAAGGCCATGGCATCACTAGCAACCTTTGCTGCAGTGCAACCAGCCACCATCAAAGGCCTTGGTGGTAGCTCCCTCAGTGGAACCAAGCTCCATGTTAAGCCATCTCGCCAGAGCTTGAGACCCAAAAACTTGAGGTACCAGAACTTTCTTTACTAGCTATATATGAAAAGCCTACATATTATTCTATTACAGCTTTATGGCATAGACTAATGCTTTCTTTTCTTGGATGTAGGAGTGGTGCTGTGGTGGCAAAGTATGGTGACAAGAGTGTGTACTTTGATTTGGAGGATTTGGGTAACACTACTGGGCAATGGGACTTGTATGGATCCGATGCACCTTCACCATACAACTCTCTCCAGGTTTGTGAACATTTTCTGTTAATTTCAATGATGAAAAGGCCAAATTAAGTAATTTTATCTTCGCTAATTTTGCCCCGGATTCTCTCATTTTTTATCTGTTAGCAGCTCACGTTTACAAATTTGCACACAATTAAAAATAGGAAATGCAAAATGATCAAAGTAAGAAAAGCAAAGGTATTGCTTAGGCAATAATAAGTTTGTAACTGTTAATGTAGTGGTGCTTCAATTACTAAACGGGTTCTCTAATGGAGTGATGAACACCTTCCACTGGAAGGTTTGGTATGAAAAGTTGATGACCGATAGAGATTCAGGTAAAGTAATGGCCTATTGAACAAATGAGTATGCTCTTGCGATGATAGAGTGATATTTGGGCTGAGATGATCCCCTGAGGATTGTTGATACCAAAGATAGCATAATTTGAGTAGTGTTCTGGTCAAGGAAATTCTAGTTGTTCTGTAAGAATGAGATAGTCAGAGGTAACGCACTCAATCCGAAGATTACTTTGATATACGAATTGGGAAGAATAATCAGTGGGGTACAGATGTTTTGGCGGTTCGTGATGCAACTGTATGATTATTTAGATAATTAAGGTCTTATTGCAGAGCTCCAGATTTTTACAGCAATGGCAAAAATAATCCAGTATTTTTCACTAAGATCCTTGAATATTGATCTGTTCCAACAATGCTTATCAAACTTACTTTGCACCACGCAAGCACCTAGCATATTCGCTGCTTACAGAAGAAAACAGCTAGAAATTAGTCTGGCGTGCTCTGGCTTTAGAAGGTTACGTTGTGAAATTAAGCTAAAGTTCATTGGTATGTTAAAGGGCTTCTTTGCATTGTTTTCCTTACTTATTTACTGACCTCGTGTTCTGCATTTATATGGAGCTGCAGAGCAAATTCTTTGAGACATTTGCAGCTCCATTCACCAAGAGAGGATTGTTGCTCAAGTTCTTGATATTGGGAGGTGGCTCCACCCTTGCTTATGTGAGTGCTTCAGCTACTGGTGACGTTCTACCAATCAAGAAGGGTCCACAACTTCCACCAAAGCCTGGGCCTCGTGGCAAACTCTGATTATTTTAGCATCCTGATCTGTCAACTTTTGATTGTATGTATTCATGTATTTTCTTTTGACTTGAAAGTTTGCACGTCTGTCTAAATCCTACTTAAGACCATGGGTTCTTAATGCAAAGATATTTACTTGTCCTTTCCACTGTCATTTTGGGTATTCCATTAAATTTTAATTGCGTTCTGTTCGAGTATGATTATGAGATATGGTTGTGATACATGTAGGATGTTAAACTGCTTGCTTCATGGCATAATATAATTATCTAGGTTTAGTACTTAAGCTTGTTGGTTCTCGAACATAAATATAATTACTGGAGAAAGCGGTTTAGAGCAGATGGGCAAAATGTCTAGTAAGGAACAGAATGAAAGCAAAATCACGATCACATATATAATAATTACTGCGTCCGCTCTACTGTGAAGACAGATTCCAAGATCACATTTTGGTGGCTAAGAAACTACAAATCCATTTCTTGAATAGAATGAAGGAACAAAATGATTCAAATCCTATAGTTTTGCACTCAAGTTCATTCATCCTATTTACAAAAGGAAGGAATGGAATGAAAGTAAGTCGAAATTCACAAACCAAAAGGACCCCATTAATTAAGGGCCTGAAGATACACATTTTAGTATTGGGCTTTCTCACTCTTTCTTTCTTTTCTATTTCTTTTCTCTTTACGTGTTCATTTTTTTCCCCCTATGATGCTATCAATGGCGTGCTGTTGGGCTTCGTAAAGCTCCTAAATTATCAAGATAGGAAGGTTTCCTGTTGGTTGATATGTAAGTAAGTTTCTGTGTCAACTTATCGTCATCTTTGAGTAGTTCATCTGATCCAAATGGATCCTTCTTTGCCGCACTTTCATTTTGGTCGGAACCCCAACCCATAAAATCAGACAGTGTCATCGAAGCGTTTGAATCATCTGAGTTCTTCTCCGTCCCTTCTTTGGGCGATGCCTGTACTTGTGGTGCTGCTCTTAACGGGTTCCTATTATGTCCTGCATGTGATGGATTTCGAGCAACATAATCAGCATAGAGTACGTCTTCAATTCGAGACATGACGGTCGAGGCCAAGCTTTCTAGAATTCTCGAATAGCTTTCCAAGATAGCGTGCCCTACATCCTGTCAGGGCAAGAATATATCATTAGCTTTTCGGTTTGACAAACATGACTGGAATGGAAAAATAATCAGTACTCGTAAAGGTAACTCTGAACCATGAACAAGGCACAAGTATGCATCCCACCAGTGCTTTTTCATAAATACACTTGTTGATTAAGGAGATCACTCAGCTCCAAGTGTAAATGAAACACATCCCAGAGGAAAGGGAAATTATGCTTACTTGATTGTATTCAATTTTGCTAACATCTAGTGCAGATTGAGGAATTCCAGGGAAGCGCTGTTTGAGGAGGAGCAGGATAGTTTCTGCTCTCTCTTCGAAGAGTTCTCTCTTCTCCAAACTGACAGCAGATCCCCAAGCGGATTTACCATCTTTCTGATTCATCTTCCTTTTCCAAATGACTATTGAAGCCTCTATTCTGTTCTTGAGGTCTAGGATTTTATGTTCTGATGATAAGTCCATGGTGCACAGAAATTGATCGGGATCAAAATACTCAAGTGTAATACTCCGATACGCCGAATCTCCGAGGCTTGCCCTCCCATTCTAGCAAAGCACCAAAGAGAAATGCGATTAGGGAGTTCGCAAGGCACTTAAACCTCTGTATGCATTATTTGTATAGGAATTGTTGCATTTCTTTTTACCTTAGGAAGGGATTCAATGTAGTTATCAGGAATCTCCATTTCTGAAAGAATTTGAGCATTTATCGCCATGGCTGCTTTGAGAACTTGGTTCACACAATCTTTTTGGTATTGAAGAAACTTTTTGGCCCTTTCTGATAAACCATCTGGAGGAACTTTGACAGTAGGTAGCCACCATTTATCATCTTTTCTCTTGCTGCCTCCTTTTTCTGAATCAGGGGAATCTCTCGAAACATAATAAAACTCATTTTGGTCTTTGAAGTTATCTAGGGAGTCCTGAATAATGCAAAAAACCATTTTCGAGGATTACATTAACTCTGCTGCAGTCCACATTTAACGATGTTCATATCTAAATCTCAAGTAAACTCAGAGAACGGAAATCTTTTTTCTTACAAGAAGCATTGCATCAAGCTTGCGCAAGGCTGGAATGTTCATATGAAGATCATTTCGTTGTCGTGTCACCATTATCTATTCAAGAAATGAGGAAGACATTCTTAGCTTGTATGATGAGTCAATGAGGAGACATTCAATTCAAGAAATGCATTAGAGAGAGACAATTACCTCCATATTTGATCCATCCTTGGATTTTTGTTGGGAAGGAACAAGTTCAACAATGTGATCGGTTACGGATAAGAGCCAATCAATTTCTCTTAACCACCTCGCTTTTCTTTCTGGTGCCATAGGCTCCAGACGCCGTTGTTCGCCAAACACAGAAGCTACATGTAGGGAGGAATCAAATGAGACAAATCAATTATGAATTAAGAAAGACAAAATCATGGCTTGCCAATTTTTATACAAGGGGTTTCAGAAAATTTTGGAAAATTAACCATCTGAATTCAATATAAATATACAGTTCCACCATGTTTGTTGGGTATATGCAAAAACAAAATGGTGTTGTTTTCCTAGAATGAGCATCAGAAAATTGCAGAAGGGAAAAAAGTCAACCTACCAGCAAGGTTTGTAATTGCATTTGACAATGCCAGAGCTGAAGAGACACCCTTTCCTCCACCAGACATATCCTCCCCAAGAAGCAACTTAGCAAACCTTTCCTTCATCTGTTCCATTTCTGAATCAAACCCCAGAAGAAGACAAAAATCCTATTAATTGCAAAAATCAAATAAATGCAAGCAAGAAACTACCTTTTAAGGATTTTCCTCTTACTAAAAAAGAAAAGATGAAATACTGAATGTTGTAATACATTATTAATCAATAAAATGAAATATCTGTACGTGACCTTAAAAAATTGGACTTGCCTAGATTTAGATTATCTTTTCCTGGAGGAGCAGTCCCTGCTTCATCCTTGCCAACCCTCGATCTAGGACCCTTGTCATTCCTATAAGGTGAAGTCCCCACTTTCTGTTTATGATCAAATGCTTGGTCATTTAAAGGTCTTGGAGCATGATGATTTCTAGATGTTATTCTATCATCCATTGAAGAGTATTGTTCAAAACTAGAACTATCATCCGCGCTGAAGCTCTTAACGTGCCGACCCCCTGCATTCTCATTCATCTCTTTGAAATGATACACTCTAGACCTATAGTTTTCTTGTTCTTGTTCGAGCGCACGAACCATCTTTAACGTTCAGAAAAAAAAAAAAAAAAAAACCATAAAAAGAAAAGAAAAGGTTCTATGCAATGAAGACGAAATTAACTAACGACCAGAACGAGAAAAAAATAAAATAAAACATAAAGAGATGTTTTACACCTTGTCGTCCTTGGCAAGAGACAAGGAGGGAGAAAAAAGGGGAGAGAACCCAACAACTGCCAAATGATTCAACAGATTGGTGTTCTTCGAGAATTTACTATGTTTTGGAAAAATTATGGAGGTGAATCAGGTGATGACTAGATTGGTAATTTTCGTTTTTTTTTTTTTTCAATTTAACAGTTAGTTTCTGTTTTGTGCCATGTAACATGTGTTGGTGGATCGTGGGGTGCATGTTTAGATGAATGAGGTGTATTAAGAGGAACAAACTATTAAAAAAAAAAAATCAAGAAGGTGATGATTTATTTGGACCTAAAGATCGAGCTTGTTTAAGAATGCAAAAATTGGATGGTTGTCTTTTAATTTTGGAAGGTCAAATCTTGCAAGGAATCCGGAAAGACAGGCATATACAATATTCTCTCTCTCTCTGCCTTCTTAACATATCCTTTTACAACACGTAATCAATTTGGCGTTTTAGGATGCTTAATTTACTCCATAGGGATTAGGGCGGCTGTACACGTTTTTCATATTAGTTTTGAATCTCCATTTCTACACAGCATGTCCTCCAGCCCTAGGGATGGCAATGGGTTGAGGCAGAGCAGGATCGCCATCCCCATTCCTGCTCCGTCTCCCAAAAACAAAACCTATCCTTATTTTGTGTCCTGTTCGAAGTAAAATTCCACTTCCTATATCCGCTTCAAACGAAACGAGACGGGATGAGACCCCTCTAAATTATTTTTTAAAAAAATAAAAAGACGGGACGGGCTGGTTTCGGGACATATTGGACTGCCATCCCTATCCAGCCCATTCTTTTTTCCTTCTTTTTATTCTTTGCCCTATGGAGGTGTTGCCACCATCTTCATTGTATAAAGCCAGCGACCGCAACTCGAAATTGTGACTTTAGACCAATGAATCTTTCTCTTATCATATGAATTAATCATTTCGGCAGCTATTGATGTAATCAAACACAATTAGCAATAAAAAAATACAAAAGATAAATAAATCACTACAATTTATTGTCACACATATTTTAAATAATGCGATAAAATAAGAAATAAAAAATATGTATACAATTTTCAATTCGAAATCTATAAAAGAATTTGCGTTGGACCAAACATTTCAATATGATTTTTCTTTTGCCTGTTTTTTGTCTTTTTTGGTTGATAAAGGGCCCAAAGGCCCAAACAAAACAGAGCTAAATATCACAATTCATTTGAACTTCAAATATTGCAAACAAGGCTTTTTGGGCCTCTAGAGTATAGCGGAGAGAAATGGCCCAACCACTAGCCTATTTGGTTGGTCCAAAAAATAGGCGTGCCTAAACCTCGAATTTAAAAGGAATTAAAGCATGTATTTTTTATTTTTTTTAATTATTCCTATTATAAGCATGTCGTTGGTTGGTTGGGTTGGCAGGTTAGGAAGCAAGAAGACATTAAAGCGAAAACAGAGTAGCTTTTCTTCATGTTTCCACGAACTGATATATTTTTTTAAAAAAAGTTATGGAATAAAATAGGTGGATGAAGATGGTTTGCATAATGAATATTATTACATCTTTATATATATTAAAAAAATAAAAATAAAAACTTGATTGCATAGCCTTGATGTACTGAGAAGACTAACTTGCTTTAGAGAAAAATCCAATGATGCATGCCCTGGAGATATTGCTCCGGTGCATAACTTAATAAATTGAAGTGATTTTAAAAATAATAAGGGTTAATGGGCAATTTAATACATGCTGTAAGCATATCATTTTGTGAAATGATTAGAAATTATTAGATACTCAAGGAGTTTGTAAATTTTTTTACAAAAAAAAAAAAAGTTTGGGAGGGGGTTATGGGACAGCTAGTTCAATTTTTCAGGGGAGGACCAAACTGTGTCATTGACTGGCGAACTGGATAGCCACTAGGGTCGGGTGGAAGAATTTACTATAGCCATTAAAAAATAATTTCATGCACTAATTTAAATTGGAAAAGAATTTATTCTTTAAAAAAAAAAAATCAAAGGCGTGATTGAGAATGAAAATTCAAGGATAGATTAATGCTTTATCCTCTCACTTTGGTCGACTGTATTAATATATTCACACAAAACACTGAGATGATACCATATGCAATGAGGGAAAAAAGAAGTTAGTCAACAAAAAGTTCATTGTTGTCCCCGGAAAAAAGTTTCTTGATTGATTTTTAGTATATCTATATCCATATTTAAAATCCAAATTAATATTCATATCCTACTCTTTACCAATCAGATAGAAAATTTAGAATTCCATTGGATTTCGAGTATTAATTATCTAGGTGCTATATATTCATTTTCAATTAGAGAAAAAGAAAAAAATAAGTAAGAAATGTGAAAAGATGGATTAAAAAATAATTTTTTTTAAAAATATTTTAGACCAATCATAATTAATATCGATTAAGAGATTAAATAATTAATATTTTTTAAAAAATTATTTAATTAATTTTCAATTTTTTTTTCGAGAAAAAGAAAAAATAAGTAAGAGATGTGAAAAGATAGATTAAAAAATATTTTTAAAAAAAGAATAATATTAAACTAATCATAATTAATATCGATTAAGAAATTAAATAATTAATATTTTAAAAAATTATTTAATTCATTTGATAAAATTAAAATAACTAATTTATAATTTACTAAGAGCAGGCGGCTGCTATACCACCATAATGAAACTGCCTTTTATTGTTTCCATTCAGCCGGCCACATAAAAAGCTACTAAACTCCTATTAAAAAAAAAAAAAAAGCTACTACAAATTGTTGAAAAAAGAAAAAGGAAAAAAACCGACAAAACACAAACAAACACCCGAAAGAATCTATGTCCATTCTGAATTGGATCGATCGAATAAGGAGGAGAGGGTTTTATTTCTTTATTTATTAGAAGATTTTCAATTGGACATCATTTTTGCAAATTAATTTAAAGTGTTTTTAATTATTTTTTAACTTAAAGAAAATTCATAAATACTATATATCTTTTGATTTAAATCATATTCCCATTTTATGGGGAAAAAAATAAATAAATAAAAACTCGGTCCAATCACCCAGCAGGCAGCAGCATGACACACTGACCATACGATACAAAACAGAAACAAAAAACACAAAAGGGAAAGAGAAGAGGAAAAGGCAAAACAGGAAAGAACAGCTCTCTTCCGAATCAATCAATGGAGTCCATAGGCGTTCTCATGACCTGCCCACCACCCAATCCGTACCTAATTGAACAACTTGAGAAACGCTTCACTCTTTACAAATTCCACTCCATTCCAGACAAACCCAACTTCCTTAATTCTCACAAAGCCTCCATCCGCGCTGTCGTTGGCAATGCTACTGCAGGCGCTGACGCACAGCTCATAGACCTCTTGCCCAACCTCGAAATCGTGTCCAGTTTTAGCGTCGGACTCGACAAGATTGACTTGGCCAAGTGTAAGGAGAAAGGTATCAAGGTCACTAATACCCCTGATGTTTTGACTGATGATGTTGCTGATTTGGCTCTTGGTCTGATGCTGGCTGTCTTGAGGAGGCTTTGTGAGAGTGATCGCTATGTTAGGAGTGGTCAATGGAAAAAGGGGGATTACAAGTTGACCACTAAGGTTTGTTTTTCCAAGAAAATTATTCGGCTGTTATTTTTCGATTCTGGGTCGTCTGGATTTTCTCACATCTTTTTTTGTCTGCGATCTGTGTTTGTGTGAAACGTCTTGTTTTTTAATTGTGTGAAAACTAAAAAAAGTCTAAATTTTATTGGAAAATGAATTTAACTTAAAGATTGGGATTTATCTGGTTATTGAGGAAGCAAGCTGGTGGTTCATTAAGAAGAATGTGTGAGAAGTAGAGAACTTAAATTAGTGGAAATGCATGTTCAGTTGAAAACGTGCTTGAATGAGCAGTATAATCTAAATGAATACTTGTGTATATGTGGATTTTAATTGTTGAATTCTAAATATATTTGTAGCTCAAGTTGTCTGCGGTAGGCTAGCTGTCTGGTCCAACTTTCACTGAGCAAACGTTAAATAAATAGATAGCAGATTTTTTTTTTAAAGAAAAAAGTAAGGATAAACTTCTGTGATATATTCCGAACTTCAGAATGGTTTTTCAAGTTAGTCTAGAGTAGGAATATTGTAATCATTGGTTGTTTGTTTCTGATTCTGAATCTTTCAATTACTTGAACCTATGGGGCTGCTAGGTAGAGTAAATTCTTGTAAGGAAGGTAGGCTTGTGGCAATTTGTTTGTCTGGTCCTCTCTTTTTTCTACAGGTTTGTGTATTTCTCAAATAAATCCAGATTGCAGTGCTTTACTTGGTAGTATTTGAATGTCTATTGGAACTGTTTTCATTATAATTCAAATATAGTGTAATTAATGTCACATAAAAAAAAATAGCCTGTTTGCTAAATTAGTTTGCAAGGAGCAAAAAACCTATTTTTGAGTGCTTTCAAATTTTAGGTGTATCCAACTTATGAGAAAACATTTTTCAGTTTTATTAACTGTTTGATGACCCACGTATTGAACCATGAGCTATAAGCTTTGTATTTGGTCGTTTTTTTCTGGATCTTCTCCATACATCAACAATTTGGTTTTTAGCTGCATAAAGTATGTTTGGTTATTATTCAGTGTAATCATTTGCTAATTCTATGCTAGAGTTGTTTTTTTTTTTTTTTTGCTCACTTTGTTATTGCAGAGGTTTTTGGATTTCCCCTGTTTGGTTTGTGTATTAAATGGTGCACAAAATATTTACTAATTGATTTTGAGTTTTGGTGCTCAGGTCCTAGGAACTAAGATTCAGTATGCATTTGTCTAAGCTAAACAAAGCATTGGCATAAATGCCCATGCCCCAAATGCTTAAACATTGAAACGTGGGAGTTTAAAATGAAACTGAAAATTTAAGCGGATCATAATCTTCTGTCAGACATGGGCAAGCTCCTTCCATGATTTGGGATTCCAAGTTTCCTTTGTGTTTCTTAAAACCCCTGCAGATAGAAAGAACTAAAATTTCCATTTTCTTGTGCTTGAATATTGGCAGTGCAAAAATAGGCAGGCTTGTATATGTTGTGTGATCTGTGAGGAAGATCCCTTTTAATGATAATCCAAGACCTTAGGGGAGTTGGCTGTACGGGTCTAAGGAATGGGGCTTAGTTTGCATTATCCAAGATCCCCTGGTTGAATTGAGGTCATTTACTTGGTTTATGGCACAAACTTTGGGTGTTAATCGTGGGCTTGTATGGACCTGTATGAGTTCAGTCTTTTACTTATTTAGACCATTTAATCTGTTCTGATTCTTTTTTCTTGCCCTTGAGTTCAGTTTTGTATTGCTCAACTTTCACTTGTTAAAATATTAAAGCCTGATCTTCGCTTTTGCCTTAGGGTTGTATTGCTGGTCTGACATTTAATTTTTTAGGAACTCAAACTTGAGGTAAAGTGCAAAGCATAGTTTTTTCGCTTTACTACCTGTGAAATTGAAATATTTTACATACAGATGTTTGATTGTTTTTGTGTGTAGTACCCGAATCAAGTTTATGGACCCATCTTTTAAGCTAAGAGATTTTCATATATGTAGTCTTGCTAGCTCATTATGCTGTCAAATGATCTTCCCATTGAGATTTCTTTTTTGTTTAGTCTTGAATGTGTTTCTTCTTTTGGCCACATATTGCACTAGTGTGTAAATGGAATCCTTGGAGTGCAAAATACGGGTGGTTTTTGCAATTTCCATGCTTTTGGAGGTTAGCTGAGGACAGGGTTTCGTTTTATTGATTTGAAATATTAGGATGTAAATGTGCTCGTTTTCCATCTTTGTTTTCCTGAAATTGTGATGTGTGTTTTATTCTGTTCTGTTAAGAGGTCTTCTGTTAGTTGTTTCTCTCGCTTGTCTTGCTAATGTTCCATTCCCCCTGAAGTCCAACCGTATGCAAGCGAGAAGCTTTCATTAACTATAGCTAGTATTTGGTCAAAGGCCATCAATTGTATGATAAGTTTCTTTTAGCAATTAAACATTTGTTGAGACACAACAGTCAGGTAGGCACTTGATCTGACTAAATTAGATATAACGATGGAGTTTCACTTCTTGCCTTGACAGTCCTATGTTGCTTGACCTCTCTGAAATGTTTGTTGATCTCTTTTTTTCAGTTCTCTGGGAAGTCAGTCGGCATTATTGGGTTGGGCAGGATTGGCATGGCAGTTGCCAAGAGAGCTGAAGCATTTAGTTGCCCCATTAGTTACCACACTAGAACAGAGAAATCAGATGTAAAATACAAGTACTATCCTAGTGTTGTTGAGTTAGCTGCCAACTGTCATATTCTTGTTGTTGCATGTGCACTAACAGAAGAAACTCGCCACATTATCAACCGTGAAGTCATCAATGCTTTGGGTCCAAAGGGAGTCCTTATCAATATCGGTAGAGGTCCTCATGTTGATGAACCCGAGCTGGTTTCTGCACTAGTTGAAGGCCGGCTAGGCGGTGCTGGACTTGACGTGTTTCAAAATGAACCTCATGTACCTGAGGAGCTCTTTGGGCTTGAAAATGTAGTCCTCTTGCCTCATGTAGGAAGTGGCACAGTGGAAACCAGGAAAGAAATGGCTGACCTTGTTATTGGCAATTTGGAGGCACACTTCTCAAACAAACCATTATTAACCCCCGTGCTTTGATTTTGAGATGGAGATGTTTTAATGCAAGATTGTTTGGAGGCTTCGCCTTATTTCCAGAACGCTGTTCTCCCCATTTAGACCATTGTCTCCTGGCCTTGGCAAGGATGGAATAAATATAGGAAAATATTATCAACATTAATCATGTAAGTTTGAAGTTACGTTCTTGCTTAAATAAACAACTAGCATTTGGACTGCAGCAATGACTTTTCTTTTCTTTAACCATGAAGATTGTTTTTGTTTTTTTTTTTTTTTCCTGAGAATCGAAGATAGGTTACTTTCAAAACTGCAATTTTCTTGTTTGCAGCTGAAGTTGTAACAGGTGATCATCGCATATATGTACAAATTTAGATCTGCAGACGACATTGCTGTGTCTTTTTAACTAGTTTGAAACTTTTTATTAAAACTTAAAACAGTAAAACTGATCAAGAAACTTAAGTCGTCCATACTGGGGTCATACCTTGCAAACATAATCACCTCCTCTTCCACAGCTACCGAAATTCAATTTCCAAATTTCCTTTCTTCAAACAACACAACAATGGACTCCATAGCTGTCCCTATGAACTGTCCAATAAACAACTATCTTTAAAAAGATCTTGAAAGGCGCTTCAAGTATTCGATAATCATAAGCACACCACCCATACTGCCCTGGTCGACACAACTGTGGGTGCTGATGCAGAATTGATGGAAGCATTGCCAAAACTGGATATTGTGACAGGTTTCGGTGTAAGAGTGGATAAGATGGATCCAGAGAAGTGTAGAGGAGGGTATCAGAGTTGCTAATACACCCGATGTTTTGACGGATGACGTAGTGGAACTGGCGATCGAACTGATCTTGGCAGTGTTGTGGAGGTTCTGTGAGAATGATCTGTATGCGAGGAGTGGAAGGTGGAAGAAAGTTGACTACGAAGGTCAGCTTTCGGTTTCCCAACGCTTTGCATGTGACGAGACGCATAACGAAATGATAAAGTTTATTAATATTCAAAAATTTTAAAACAAAGAACATATCTATAGTTACAGAAAAAACACTCAAAATTATCAAATTTTATTAAGTCAAACTCCTTAAATAAAAAATCAACAAAATTCTAATAGGACTAGACATAGAAAGAAAATAAAATAAAAACTCTACATTACTACTAATTCCTAAATAAAAACATTTTACCTAAAATAATAAACATACAGAAAATAAATAAATTATGTAAAGATTGTATTGTAATAATTAAGGCAATAATCTAGACTTAATAAATAAGTGTCCTAATTGAGAAAAACTCACTCTCGAATATAATACCACGTTGACATCATGTTTCAAGACTCAATTTGTAAATTAGGTAGGCATTTTCCACTCTAATAAATCACTGTAAAGTAGGAGTGGGCACTATTTGATTAAAATAAAAAAATCGAATCAAACGGAATCGAATTAGTAATTTCGATTCGATTTTATAAAAAAATTAAAAAAAAAACCGAAATTATTTCAGTTCGATTCGTTTTTTTTATTTTTAAAATTCTATTTTCACCAAAAATCGAATTGATGTTTTTTTTAACACATCCATCCAAGTCTCATAGTATTTTTTAATGATTTTATTTATTAAAACTTCAATTCAAGCTATTAGCGTTCCTTAAAAATAAAAAATAAAATTACAAAAAAGTGATCTTTCAGACTTGATTCAAGAGAAAATTCAAAATTTAAAACAAAAGATACAAAAAAAAAAAAAAAAACTGTTTCTAATCGAAAACTAAACCGAAAAATTTGGTTTTTTAACCAAAAAACTAAACCTAAATTCGATTCAATTTTTGTTTTAATTAATTCGATTAACAAAAAAAAAATCGAAATTAAACGGAAAAACCCAATAATAACTCCTACCATTAAGGAGCGGAATGTGTAATGAAATCTTGGCACCATACCCTTGTCCCTACATTATGCACTTCTCTCTAAATTTGGTAGTTCACACCATAATAGCATCCTTTATTTTCTCGAGAATTTCCAAATACATCACCATTATCTAGCTTTAGCCCTTTAATCATGACACTAACACGATGCTTTTTTCCTTTTTCTTTTTTTATTTAACAGTAAAAATATACTCTATCAGCTTTTACAATCTCAAAACAATGTTTTTTATCCTCCAAAAAATGCTCAGTAGATACATCATTTATGACATAGTATCAAAATTAACTTTCACAATCTTACTCAAACTGTGCTGTCTTCTACTTTGTCAATTTGGTTCGTATTCTTTCATGCTTTTAAATTGTTCTTACATGGTACAATTGCCTTCTTCCTCTCTTTTTTTTTCTTGACATAAAAAATATTCGATTTTGGTGGAAAATAGCTATCAAAGATTCAATGTTTTTTGGATATGATAAAAAACTTCTTCATAAGAATCATTAAAATTTGCTTCAATTAATTTTTCTTTTATCATTTGCCAAGAACAAATTTAAACTTATCTCACCAAGTTCCGAAGGATTGTGGCTTATTCCACTCATTCAACATATAACCAAGAAATCGGCAATAAACATGCTCTATCCTTTCATCTTCTAGAATTTCATTACATTCAAAAAAAAAAAAAAAAAAAAAGTTAATTAAGATGTTATTTGGGATTATTTCTAGTCACATATTTAAAATTTTTAATAAGTCATATAGAGAGATTATATACAGCGTGTCTTTAGGGAAGAGAACTAAATTTTACTAAAATAAAAAAATTACTTTAAAATAATTTTTTTTAAATGATTCTAAATGTAAACAAAAAAATGTAACTTATAAATTATTAATTTCGAATCAAACTCATGGATTATATAAATATGAGAACAGAAGAGCATAATTATGATTAAAAAAAAATTAAAGTATTTCTCTATTGCACTTGTCTCTCCAAACGCAGCATGCAATGAGACCGATATGTCAGAAAGAAACGTATCGTTATGCTATTGCAAAGTTTTGAGATGTCGTCTTCGGAAGGTCTCAACTCCGAACCATATGTTAACTTCCAAAAATTGAAAAAACCACCCCACAAACAGAAAAGAACCCTATCCTTGAAATTTTCAGGAATAGTGATGAAGTCCATTGGAGTCCTAATGACATCTCCGATGTACAAATACCTAGAACAACAACTAGAAACCCACTTCAATCTCTTCAAACTATGGCACTACAACTGCTCAATAACTGAGTTCTTGAAAACCCATCGAGGAAACACTATCAGAGCAGTAGTGGGTAACACTACGATCGGTGCAGATGCTGAATTGATTGAGTCATTGCCAAGTTTGGAAATTGTTGCCAGTTGCAGTGTAGGATTGGACAAAATTGATTTGAGAATGTGTGAAGAGAAAGGGATTAGAGTTACTAATACCCCTGATGTTTTGACTGATGATGTTGCTGATTTGGCAATTGGGTTGATATTGGGGGTTTTCAGAAGGATTTGCGCTTCTGATTCTTATGTTAGGAGTGGCAAGTGGAAGGATGCTGATTTTGGATTGACAACAAAGGTTTAAGCTTTTCTTTTCTTTTATTTTATTTTTTTTTCCCTTCTTGTTTGTCTGGTTATTTTTCAGCATTTTAATCTAGATGTGGTGTAATGTGGGTTGCTTGAATTGGTTGTTTAGGTGTAAGTTTTGGATTCTTGGATTGATCATTGGTGAATGGAAGGTAGTGGCTTGTTAGATATGAAAATTTCATATGATAATTGAGGAATTCTGTAGATTGTATCATTCATAGCTTACAAGATTAGTTTCCTTTATGTTTGGATGTTTAGTATTACCATTTACCAATCTCATGTTCGGTTTGAATTCATCAGTTGTCTCTCTTGATTTGAATCCTGGTATAGAATAACTACAGGTTCTGTCCACAAAGGACCAAGATCTGTTAGATGAATCATTTCTTGGTTAGAACTAACCGGGAGAAACTATATACGGTATCCTGCAATATGAGAGAGTAGAGAACAGACGGTATGATAGGAGTTGGATAAACTACCTGCCATGAACACTGCAGAAATTCAAAATGCTTGGATGGAGAAATTGAAATGTGTACTGCGATACTATCTGGGGCATTATTCTGTTAATCATCGTTGTTGACATCCATATCAGTTTTCTATTTGTCATGTCTCATTTGCCATTGTTCAATATACTTGTCATTGATGCAACGGTGTAAACTTATGTCTTCCACTTGAATTGGAAGCTGAATTGGTTGTTTTTTCCCCTTGTAGTTTTATATGGATTTTGTATTTCGTTCGTTGATTTATTCCCTTTTCCCTTTTCCCTTTCAGTTTAGTGGTAAACCAGTTGGCATTGTTGGGTTGGGCAGGATTGGTACAGCTATTGCACAGAGAGCTGAAGCTTTTGGTTGCTCCATAAGTTATTCCTCTAGATCACAGAAACCATTTGCTAACTACAAATTCTACTCAAACGTTATTGACTTGGCCTCCAATTGCCAAATCCTCGTTGTAGCATGTGCTTTGACAGAGGAAACCCACCACATTATCAATCGTGAAGTCATTGATGCACTGGGTCCAAAGGGCATCCTAATCAACATTGGACGGGGTGCTCACGTCGATGAGCCTGAGCTTGTTTCGGCATTGCTTGAAGGTCGGCTGGGTGGTGCAGGGCTTGATGTATATGAAACTGAGCCTGAGGTGCCTGAAGGGTTGCTAGGTCTTGGCAATGTTGTCCTCCAGCCTCATGTGGGATCTGACACTGTAGAAACTAGCGAGGCAATGGCAGACCTTGTCATTTCGAACTTGCAGGCACACTTTAGCCAAAAGCCCCTGTTAACTCCAGTTATATGATTGTTAGGCTTGAATCAGATGCTCATTTAGGTTTCCATTGAGTCTGCAAATTGTTGTCATGTCTACATCACTATAATCTCCGTCAATGATTTTCTAGTATACTGAAAAGTTCACTTGAGCTATTATTGGTTGTCTGCTACGAATTTTAATGAAGTTATTGGCTCAATTGGCAGTCTCCAGGACTCATCCAGAACCTCCAAGGAGATTGGCACATGTGCATTCTATGCCACAACTGCTGGTTATTCTACTTCTAGAACTAGCTCATGTACAACAGTAGCTCAGATCATAGCTCAAATCCATAATAGATAAGGCATGAGAGTGCGCAATGATAGTTATGAACATCATGATAACTAGCTGCCATATTTACATGAAAAGATCAGTGCACCTGCCCCCTTGAAAATATTACAAGGCTAATAATAACATAGGAAAATCCAAAATACCCCATGTGGCCGTGTGTGACCTTTTTTTGTTCTTTTTTGCCTCTACTATTCTGAAGTGTCAATTTTCCTCCCTTTCACTTGCCTCTCGAACTTTCTTGACAATCAAATGCAGAGACTTGATCTATCAAGGAGAAGAAGCTCCTTTGAAGATCAGGAAATTGAGTGTCTCCAATGTAAAGTAGATGAAAGTCCCTTTAGAATGGGTGAAAAAACAACCGAAATTTGAACCCACTACACATTGCCAACCCCCTCCATATCTCAGGTCAAATTCCTGCCAATCATAGCACAAAAGAATCAGCTTAAAGAGCATTTCCAACACACAACAAAATAGATAAGCCCTTAAAGGGGTGCAAGTTTTCCTCATGCAGAAATGAAGTGGAAAAAAAAAACTTCATACATCTCAGTCTCAAGAGGCATACGAAACCACGTTACAATACTTGTTCATGAAAGATCTATTAATTAGAAAGGGAGAAAAAAAAAAAAAAGGAGCTGCTTCTTTCATGTCTGTATGTTTGTGATAGAGAGGGAGAAGGAGAGTACCTTTTTGATGTGGGCAGCAATGGATTTGCAGTCTAGGACATCGTAGAGATCCAAAGCCTGAGAAGCAGAAGTCATGGCTTGGGTTTGCATCTTCATAGGCATGTCTGTATCCTCTATAAGTGCTTTTCCTTCCAACATTTTTCTCACGCTCGCAGAGAAAAGAAAACTCAGTTGAGATCTGCACTATCGCATCCAGACCGCTGGTTCTTATCTAAAAACCCCAGACCTAGCTAGTAGAAAAAGATTTCTCTCGAACCTGACAGTTGCGTAAGAGTAAGAGTACTAAAATCCAATGTGGAAGAAACACCAGGCCTTTTAAGGACAGCCCAAGACCCCTGCCTCTTCCAAGTGTAAAGGAATCGTTTGAATACAGTATTGGGATGAGCACATAATCCAACATTTCCATCATTTTCTCCCCCAATTTAAAGACCTTTAAGATCTTATTTAAAAAAGAAAAAGCAGCCCTCTCTCTCTCCCCCTCTCTCTCTCTCTCTCTCTCTTACTTTGGTCATAGTCATTCAGGATAAAGATGGTAAGGATAGAGCTCGTGAGGCTCGAATCAAGGCAAGGAGGACCTTAGCTTGGATTCTAGTAATATAATTATTAGTCCAAGTTCATCTTCAGCAGGACAGACCCTGACTCACGCAATCCGAAGTTCTTAGATTCAAATATTTCATCGTTTTGGATTGGTGATGTACTTATGTTGCGTACATATTTGGAATTTAAATCCAATTTGTTTGGTTTACCAAGACGGAGTTAAAATACAAATTCTTTGTTTTAATTTTTTTTTTTACCCTTTTGTTGGAAGCTATAGAGGACACCAGAGCAGATAAGATCGAGGTTACGATTTTTTGATATATCACCACTCAACCAATGATCTTTTGGAATCTCATCGTTGATATTTAGGAATCTCTTGGTTGTCTTTTTTCTTTCTTTCTTTTATATATCGTATCAAATTGGTTGCCTTTCGTTTAATTACCCAAAAAAATATAAACTATTACATTTATAAAGATTATTAAGGAAATCCATTTAATTAATAAATAAGATATTTATTTAATAATTAATATTTTCTCAATAAGTAAATTATTTAAAATTAAGATTACTCTTATGCTATATGATCCATCTTTTTTTTTTTTGAGTAATGTTATTTTAATATAATTGTTTACAGAATTTACTTATTGAAAAATTATTAATCATTAAATTTATGAATGTTACTAATAAAATTTACTTATTTAATATATGAAATAATTTTTTTAAAAAAAATTGTTAATAGGTAATGATAAAACTAATTAAAAATAAAAAAAAGCAGTTAACAAAATTTATTTGATTGTGTTCGATGTTCTGTTGAAGGGGATAGGATTAAAACAAATACAAAACGTGTGGTAAACGATCTCTCCAATTTGAAAGGTGTCTTCTCACAAAAGAAAGGATTTTTCCGCAAGAGGATCCATGTGGTTGAATAATTTAATGATACTTGAAAATTGACAAGAGAAATTTTAAAAATTTTATAATGTTGAAAGAATAGACAGCGATATATATAGTAATTATTTGATAGATTCATTTGAAAAAAAAAATAGATAAATATATAAAAAAAATAGAGAAAATTAAAAATTAAAAAAAATAAACATAAAAATTTTTTAATCACTTTTGATGGATCTAGATGTAATTTTTTTATCTTTTTATTTTTTCTCAAAATAGATTTATAAATTAATTACTAAACGTATCATAAGTTACTTAATTGAGAATTCGGTTATTGGGACTTGAATTCTGAATCATAAATTTATCCTTTTATCCATTTCCCAAAACTAGAAATAATTTTTAAAATTTTCTCTTTTTTTTCTCTTCTTTGCAACTCTTTAATATAAAAATAATTATGATTATTTTTATATAATTACTCCTCAATTAATATAAAATTTCTCAATGTATTACCATTGATTTTCTAGACAAAAATAGAACGATATATATTAAGTGCTCAGTTAACTTTTTAATAAAAACAGATAAGTATATAAAAGTCTATCTATAACCTATATCTAAAAGATCCAACCTTCTTCTTCTTTTCAGTCTTAAATTCCAAGGAACGATTCATTCTAGATTTTTGGATGAAAAACCTTTAAGAAAATTGATTTTGGTTTTCTATTAGGAAAAAAAACCGGAAACTACTTTTCGTATTAATCTTGTATGTTGCTTGCTTAATAATGTGGATGTTCTGTATGTGAAAAGACAATACAGGAGACATGAAAAAGACTGATATACTAAAATATATTGTGAGGAATATATTGTGTTAATCTCTTTTAAGGTTATTTTCAACTATCAAGGCCTCCATGGTCAACAAAGGCAGGTTTAAACTTCGAATCTGGTAAAGGATATGAACATTATTGATGTTTCATAATTACAAGTGACATTAGACAGACAAGAAGTTAAATCTTTTAAATATGCTGCAAATGTACTGTAGATTCAGTTTTTACTGGTCTTTCTATAATGTTTTATGATTTGATTGGTTTTTTTTGGATATTTTTATTGAGATACGATAAGATTGTTATCTGCGGATCCAGACGTAATGATTGCTTATCACACATATCAAACCTCATCTCTGCCGCTCTATCACCATGAAAGAGAGATGGAAAAAAAAAAAACAACAAAAAGAAAGTAGGAATAGTCGAGCCGGCTGTAGTTGAGTTACACTGTGATTCTATATAAAATAAATCATTCTAATTTAATAATTTATGCATAAGGCTCTACTAAAATATATGGAATTAAAAAAATTAAATTTTATAATTTTTAATAAAAATCTTGTATTCAAATATTTTTTTTTATAAATTTTCTATTTAAAAAATATGATTCATTCTTTTTCATAAATTGATTCTAGAATAAAAATTCATAACAATCTAAACTGAAAATTTAATCCAGAATTCAAAAAAAAAATTCTTTAAAAATATATCTCTCGATTGTATTGAAAAAATTAAAACTAAAAATAATGTATGAATTTGTACAAAAATCAACACGTGAAAAGTGATTTTTTAAAATTTTATTTAATATTGATGAGAATATATTTTTTTAGATTGTATACATTTGATTTATATATATTTATTATAAAATAATCAATAATGTTAATAAATAAAAAACTGTATTGGAATAATTTGATGGTTTCTTTAAAAAATTATTTTAATTATGTTATTTTAAAGAAATTGATTTTATAATATTAAAAAATATATTTATAACAAATAATTGGTGTTATGCGTGCAAATGTATATATTTAATTTTTAATAAAACTGATAATTCAATAGCTTTATATATACATCATGAATATATTTAGTAGATTGAAACAAATTGTTTAAAATACATTTTTAACCTTTACACACACACACACCATTATCATTTAAAATTTTAGAAAAGAAAACAATTTATTTTTTAAAAAAAGAAAACAATTGTGTTTTAAAATTTAATTTCAAAAATCCATATATAAAGAAAAATAAATTATATTTTTTGGTAAATAAAATTTATAAACATAAAAAATTAAATGGATGAGAACTTTCATAAGAAATGACAAATTAAAAAAATAAAATTTAAATAATAAGAATAATCTAATCTAAAATACATGTTAATGTTAAATTATATAAAATATATTATATATATTTAATCATTGTTATGCTTCATGAAAAATAAAAATAATAAAATTCGATTTTTCATAATTTTTACTTGAAAATTCTTAACAAAAAAGAAATTAAAGAAAAGAAAAGAAAAAAAAAAGAAAAAACCCAAGGTACAAGCTCGAGCATTTGGGCTTGGAGGACCAGGTTACAAAAAAAAAATACAAAGCAAATGATGTGTTGTTAGCTTGTGGTGCAGCAAACGACTTGTCGTTCGTATGTACTTTTTGACTTTTTGACAAACTTGATTTCATCTGAAAAATAATCAAAAATTTAGGTTTTTAATTTTTGACCTCCTTAAACCTAAATTCAACCATATCTTTTTTATCTAAAAATATTTCAAAATTGTAAAATAAAATAAAATAAAAACCTTGTTCAAGACCTCAAAATCCATTTTAATTCACAAAAAAAAAAAATCAAATCAAAATAATAAAAAAAACTCAAAATATTTTCGGTTTCGATCTACCTCTTCTAATCATTTTCTAACTTTTAACCATTAGAAATAGATTCTATTATTTAAGATGAACAAATTAATGATCTTTAGATAGTCGAGCCGACCAAAATGGTCTTTTCCATCCTTCTCTCTCTCCCCTTCCTTTTCTCTCTCTTCGTTTCTATCTTCTCTTAGCATACGAGAGACCAAAATAAAATAAAAATGAAGTTCCATATCAATTTTTTTTTAAACGAACTATAGTGCAATTTTTCAACCAAATAGTGAAAAACACATAGTACAAATAGGTGTTTGTCCACGATGATTATAAGTGATAGTCTACGGTAAAAAGAACGAGTAAAGCTACAATATTTTTCCAATTTGTTTTAGTATTATTAGTAACGAATAAAGACATAAAGTAAAGAAACGAGAGGGATGTGATTATGGCAAGTTGAAAAGAAAATAATTGATTTGAGTTTTTTTTTTTCCTCTCAAGTTGAATTCTTTTCAATTGATTGTTTTTTTCTAAAATTTTAGGAATTATTTTTACATTTTTGTTGATTTTTTTAACAAATATTGGGATGAAATTCGTGGTAAAAAGACGAGAGAAATACACAAGGAGATACGAGTGAGAAGATTGATGGTCATGACGAGTTGGAAGCAAAAAAAATTGATCATGTGTGAGTTTTTTCGATTTATATACCTCTTCATTTAAATCTTTTGATATATATTTTTCTTATTTGAGGTTTTATTTTTAGTTTTAATTTTTTTTAATTTTTTCTCTTATTTAATTGACCTTCGGACTAATATTTTCCTTTTTAATATATATATATAAGAAGTGAGAGATGCATCCAAAAACAAAACCACAAAAAGAAAAATGCCGGATCTATCAAAACTAAAGATACATAGCACAAAACAAATAATAACATTAATAATGAACAAAAGTATTGAATCTTGTGCGGGAGGTAACAAACAATGGCAATCTATAGTTTTTTGTCTCCGGTTGAACGACTAACTACAACAAATAGGGTCTAATAGTTTGTAGAGATAGTATCCGTGAC